TTCAGAATAGACAGTTGTTCATTTCAGACTGAGCTGCAGCTTCCAGTTAACACTGATGTGAAAGAATAGGAGAAGTAAAGGGAGCCCAATCAGTCAGTGTGAAAGGGTGAGAGTCAGAGAGGGAAGGAGCTTTACTTCAGTAAAAAATACAAAAGTCTTCAAATTGCCTTTATGTGTGTATATGATTATATTTATATATGTGACATTCCTAGATAATATTGTTGAATCACGAAGTTTATTAATTATTTACACACTCACTTTTTTTTTTTTTTATTTGACCTTTTTTGTCTAAAATTTGACTTTTTTCTCAGAATTTCACTTTTTTTCTCAGATTTGAACTTTTTTCTCATAAATTTGACTTTTCTCACATTTAGATTTTTTTGTTAGAATTTCACTTTTTTCTTAGATTTTGACTTTTTTCTTGGATTTTGACTTTTATTCAGAATTCTGACTTCTTTCAAAATTAGAAAAAAAAATGTATTGGACTTTTTTCTCAGAATTTCACATTTTGTCATAATTTTGACTTTTTTTCTCAGAGTTTGACTTTTTTTCAGAATTTGACTTCTTTTTTATAATTTGAAAAAGTCCCAGTGAAGGCTCTACATCCTCATATACACCTGATCATCAGCAGGAAAACCATTAAAGCTGAAATGGTGTCAACATGTGTATCTGTTCATATAGAAAGACATCCTTATGTTGACAGACGTCAGACTGGATATCAGATGAACTCTCAAACAACTTCTCTCTGCTTCAGTGGTTTTGTTTTCACAGCATCATGAGGAACAGGGTGGAGATGTAATACTGACAGAGAGACAGGAAGTCATCATAACTCCTCTAATAACTCTGTCTCCTACATTCAGATAGCAGAATGAACTTCCTGTGGAAAAACTATTGAATAAATATTGTTTCAAAGACAAAACACACACATTGATTCAAAAGCCCATCAGACTGCTAAACACCTGAACCGTTGAAAGGCTCATATCAATATTCCAATTACTTGTATAAAGACTATTCTGCACTATTTCTATTATATTGTGTTTACTTGCACGGTTTAATCTGTGTTATTGTGTTGCTCTGCTGGAGGAGCCTGTGACCTCAGATTGTCATTGACATATCTACACTGTAGCTATGCACATGACAATAAAAGCCTTGAACCTTGAATCTTTTCCAATGTTAGACTCAGTAGCCGTCTCAGTGAATGCCTGTTTAATCAGATTTAGACGTTGGCAGCAGCTCAGAGACAATGACGGGATTCATAGAGAGGAATGAGGGAGGAATGAGGGAGGAATGAGGGAGGATAATCTTCATCTCATCGGTATGTGAGAGGAATGCTGCAGGACGGGATGCAGCTATCAGCTGACTGAAGGTGTGCTGCACACACAAATAATCCTCTCCAAGCATCACAAAGTAAATCTAGATGGCACAATGTAATGGCTATAGAATAATGACGTATGGTTTCCCGGCAGACACTAGCATTTGAAGCAGAAAGTCTTACAAAACTAAATGTATCGTGTCCTGGGTAGTGTGGTTTTAACAGCAAGTAGACACCATCAAGAGGAGAGGAAGATGGCAGAAAAGCCTCAATAAGACTTCTGCAAAGTGACACGTGTGTTTCCGCTCTGCTGTGACTTGCAGAGAAACATCTTTCTGTGGAGTTCCTTGAATTAGAGAAGGAAGCGATGACTGTAAGGGAAGGTGCTTCAAGAACGTGGAAAGATGACTCAGTGAAAGCTAAATGTAGAACCATGATTGCAGGGTGTTTCAGTTTGAGACTACGAGTGTCTTCACATGAATACACAGCTTGACTAAGTAAGGGCAGTCATTATGCTGCTTTTTACATACATGACTACCTAGTGAATAAAACAACAACGTGACTCACAATACTTATAAGAACATATGTTACCCCTCGCCCTTATTCCACCTAGCTTAGCACTTTTTACTGTTGCTGTTATTTCTCTTTACCTGCTTCTAAAGCACTTTGAGCACCAGGAAAAGCGCTAAATAAGCAACATGTATTATTATTATTATATGTCATTATAATATGTCTTTCAGCTGTCTGGGGAAATAATAGTCCACATGCAGGGATGTGCACTCATTATCCCGCTTTTTAAATGACTACATACTAAACAAACCAACGACGTGACTCTAGAATATCAATAAAAACACATTTTATTGATTTAAAAATGATCGCATAGCTTCGGCAAAAATAGTAGAGCTGTGGGATTTTCCAATCGACCAATCAGAGCTGAGTATTCAACTAATCTGCCACCACTCTCACGTCATTCAAAAAGCCCTAAAAACAACTCACCTTTTCACTCTTTCCTTCAACTCCTCTTCCACCTAGCTTAGCATGCTTTGTTATTTCTTTTAACTTGCTTGTAAAGAGCTTTGAGCACCAGGAAAAGAGCTATATACATAACATGTATTATTATTATTAATATTATTATTAGTAGAGGTAAGAGTAGTAGTAGTAGTCCTAGTAGTAGTGGTAGTAGTAGTAGTAGTAGTAGTAGTAGTCCTAGTAGTAGTACTAGTAGTAGTAGTAGTAGTAGTAGTAGTAGTAGTAGTAGTAGTAGTAGTAGTAGTAGACGTAGTAGTAGTAGTAGTACTAGTAGTAGTACTAGTAGTAGTAGTAGTAGTAGTAGTAGTAGTAGTATTAGTATATATGTCTTATCAGCTGTCTGAGGGAAAGAATAGTCCACATTCAGGGATGCAAAATGCTCTAAATCAAATTAATTTCCAAGTTTGATATCAATATGACGGATACAGATTGACTCAATGATCACTGCGGCTCTTCTTGGAAATATGTCAACATCCTTAATGTTTATTACTCCCTTCCTGCTGAGTGACAAACAGCTGAGGAGGATTTACTTTATTGTAGGTGTGTGATGATAGCATCCTGCCTGGAAGAATATATTCAAGTGCAATCACAACTCTACCTGTCTGTGGTTAGTCTGATTTACAGAGGTTTACATGTTGTAGTTCGTTTGCACACTGCACTGTGAGCCAAGAACCCACATGCTGCTGCAGTGCTGTTGACATTTCACTAAAATGAACATATCAAAAACGTAGACAGAGATTTGTCTAATGTGATCTGAGGGATAAGGAACATCTGCTAGCCAAACCTTGATTTTAAAGATGTTAGATAGTTAATTTAAATACATATGTTGCATGAGGATAAATAAGGCTTACAATGCAAACAGAATACTATACGTTATGCTAGTCAATAATGCTCATGTGTTTCCATGTGCTTCTGTGATTGTATGTTTTATTCAAATGGCATCCACCTGCCACATTAACATAAGCCTCTAGGGCAAAATATGACATATTTACATGATGTACTCAAGTGCTCATGTTAATTAAAGATGTTTAAATGAAATATAAATCAAAATACAAATGATGGTCAGGCCAGTAAAGGTTTAATATAAATGAGTACAGCATTTGTACAGCATTTATCCGCATCTCTCTGTTGTCAGGTGAAGACTTTAAACCAAATCTCGTTGGAGAACTGCCGCAACGCGAGAGGTCTTAAAAAGCCCCTCATGTGGGGAATACCGAGGTCTTTTTGTTGGGATAAAGACAGGAGAAAAGGATAAATGTTGAATAAATAATGAAGCGTTTACCTTTCAGTCTCGTCCTGTGATTAAATCCCGTGCTGTGCTCTCAGCGTGTCTCTGTCATTGAACTCTCGTTCACCTGTTGTCATGTCAGCAGCCTGTCAATTCGCGATAATGAGGGAAACAACGTCCGGTCACTGCTTTATAAAATAAAAGATTTTTCTTTCAGAGTAAAAGTCGTAATGTTGATGGTTTCTGCTAATCTTTTAAAGGGCCCATGTCATGCTTTTCCGGTTATTACCCGTCCCCTTGTGTTATGAAGGTTTTTCTGCATGAGTCACAAACCCTCAAAGTACACCCTGTAGCGAGTAAAACTCTAACACAGAAAAGACCTGTCTATGCTGCCCCAGAACGCCTCGTTGGACATTTTTCTTTTTCCATTGTTTACTTCCTGGGTTCTGTGACGTGTGAACACCCAAATCAACAACAAATGACCGGATTGGCCCAAATGGACTAATCCGCGGAGCACCTCACACACCAGGATCCCTTGGCTAACTAACAGGGAGTCCCCATTGACTTGCATAGAGCCCCCTGGTTGGTAATAGACGAGTTGGGATGGTGGAGAAATGCTCTCTGCAGACCCATTCTCACAGCGTTTATAAACCTTTTTCTTACTCAATATCAAGCCACACTTATTGTTTTTACTTCGGCTGTGAGTGTTTGTGTGTGCTCAGGATGAGTTTCGCTTGTTCTCGCTGTATCGCCGACCCGGAAACCTGTCCGCTCCTCGCAGCAACGAGCCTCGCAACGTCCCGACCAATCAGAGCACACTGGGCTCACAGGGAGGGGGGGGGCCAGAGCTCCAACAAGCCGTTTAGGACAGAGAGTGAATACACATACTATACAGAGATGCTGTATGAGAAACCAATGTGAGTTTGGAAAATTGCACAATTTAAATCTATTCTAGTAGAGCTCAGCAATGGAAATATGATCAGTATAAATAGCCATGACATGGGCCCTTTAAGATAGATAGATAGATAGTACTTTATTGATCCCAAATTGGGAAATTGTTGAAATAACTAATTAACAATAACTGTCGTAGAAATAACATCGTTATCGTTACATTTATTTTTAAACATTATTATTATCTTTGTGTGAGTTCAGATCTGTCCTATCCTGTGTTTCACCCTTAATGCTGTTGTAAATCAGATTATTAGAGAATGGTAAAATAATTTCCCCCATTGATTGACTTCAACAGAGAGTGATGCAATGTCTCCTCCTCGCCACCAGGGGGCTCCACCCCCGCTCCCTCAGCGTGACGTCGCAGTTGAAGGGTCAGAGAGGCTGAGATCCACATGCATGATGTTGTTGATGCTGGAGATTTAAACACTTCTTTACCGGTGTTTTATCGGTGAGTTTCACCTTTTATTCTGGTTTCTTTACGTGTCATTTGTTGCTTTGGTTCGTTTAATAACATGTGGCTCCTTTTGCATTAAAGCTAAATGGCTACAGTTCCATTGTCGGACACACTGTATTTTTTCCCTTTAGAGACATTTTTATGCCCCTAAAATGCTAACTAGCCGAACTAGCAAAGTACTTTGAATGTCTACTCTCAGTCACCTGTCTGATATAAGGTGGTGTCATATCGATGACTTTAAAAAGGTATAAGGAGACTTGCTAACCAGCACAGTTAAACATAATACCTTTTATAATAATAATTTACTTCAAGCTGTGTTTTCTTGGTGAGTTAACCTTAGAGTTGTTGCTGGGTTAATTCAGTAAGAGCGGATTACCTGTTTGATATAAGGTGGTTAATATCGATGTGGCTAATCCTGCCTGCCATGCAATTGACTAATTAGTAAATAATTGATTCAATGAATAAAGGAAAAGTGTTTTGACTCTGTTAGCAACAATTAAAAAACATGCATCTTCTGATCCCAGAGGCCTTGTTAAGCAGACACATCTTTCATATGTAAATCATAAGTCTGCCTCTTTTCACCCTCTGTCTGAAACCAGAGCCCAGTCTGCTCTGATTGGTTAGCTGGCCGGCTCTGTTGTGATTGGTCAACAGCTTAGAGATGTCCAGCCCCTTAGCCTTATCATGTACAATGTGTTGGAGCGCGAGCCAATAGGAGCGCGAGTGTTCCGTAGTGATGTCACTAGAAGTAAACAAAGGAGTGTTTAAAGGCATCAAACTATCTATAGAACAAACACCGAGGGAAACCCACAGAAACCAGAATAAGAACCTCTTTAATGTCCTCTCTCTCTCTGGTTGTTTTCTCCGTGTGTTCCAGAGTCCTGCGGTGAAATGAGGAACCTGAAGCTTCTGAAGAGTCTCCAGAGCTCAGAGCTGCAGATCCTCGGCTCCCCGCTGTGTTTATCTGTTCGCTCTGACACCGGGTCTCTGCTGGTGGCGTCTCAGTTCTGCATCTCAGAGTACGACCCGCGCACCGGACAGGTGAGAGGGGGGCGGTTGGGTAACATTAAGCTGTCTTAAATAACATGAGATACGATAAGAAGTCCTTTATTGATCCCAAGTTGAGAAATGTTTGTGTTGCAGCAGCATGAAAAGACATGGCACTGTACAATAACAATTACAAGACTAGAAATAAATGTACGGTGACAAAATATAAAGCAGGATATTTGATATAAGAATGTGAGGAATGGAATATTATTTTCCCCCTGTTGTTCTGCAGGTGGTCTCTGAGGCGTCTCTCACTGGTCTGACTGGTTTCCTCCCAGAGGATGGCAGTGGGGGGGTGGTCGGGCTGCAGGATCTGGCTGAACTGGAGTCGGCCTGTTTGGCCACAGCGGGGGGCGACGTCGTGCTCTTCAACTTCAACACCTGCCAGGTGAGCAGTGACGTCACCTCCAAGATGAAACGTTCACCTTGTTTACAGCTTTAGCATCAGCTGGGGTTATCCACTGTTAGCAATACAGGTTGATAACTACGCTTTATTCTGTGTTCGGTTAATACAGACATGGTAGCCACATGTCCACAGAGAGAAGATGAGCAGCTCTACATGCACAGTTGATTTAATGAGACACAGGAGGCGTTCCAGTTATCATCTGGGAACTGGGATATCCCCACTTCCCAGTACAACCGGAACACACTATAGTACCACTGTAGTGACCATTTCTCTTCACCTGTATGGATGCATCCTGTCAGTGACAGTCCTCAGTAAAGGTGTGTGTGTTCCACAGCTGGAGTGTGTGGGCAGCGTTGACAGCGGTCTGACCTCCATGACCTGGAGTCCTGATGAAGAGCTGGTGGTCCTCACTACCGGTCAGTATAATAAACACATGCTAATTGTTAGAAACATCTCACTCTCCCCCGGCTTGAGCTTCAATCTCAGGATCCATGTATCTCTGATCCTCTCCAGAATGGAAGTAGTCAAAACAAAAAGAGAATTAGACTTTTTCTCAAAATCTCAAATCTGACTTTTTCTCAAAATCTCAACATTCTGATATTTTTCTCAAAATTTGGATTTTTCCCTAAAATTTGGATTTTCCCCTAAAATTTGGATTTTTCTTTTCCTCAAAATTCTCAAAATTCTGTCTTTTTCTAAAAATATAAAAATCCAGATTTTTTCCAAATTCCCAACTTTTTCTCAAAATCATGACTTTTTTCTCAAAATTCGGACTTTTTCTGAATACTTAAAATTGTTAATAATCACTGGTCCCCGGCTTGAGCTTCAATCTCAGGATCCATGTATCTGTGATCCTCTCCAGAATGGAAGTAGTCATCACATACAGAGCATCAACTAGTTCCTGAACAGTGTCCTTCACATGCTGATATCCAAGAGAGGGAGTTACACAGTCACAAGATGGAGGAATAGAAAGCAGTATTCAATGTTTACTTCAGATTAGCTAAAGCACTCTAATAATTGAATAGCTTTAAATTAAGACATTTGAATTAGCTTGAAGCTCAAATCTGGCATATAGCATCCCTCCTCTTTTTTAGATTCATGTGTTTTTATGCACGGTCAATAAAGAGACTTGTTCAATAAAGATATATAATAAATATAATATCAATCAGTATTCATTGTGTCTCGCAGGTCAGGAGACGATCATCATGATGACCAAAGAATTTGAGCCGATCACTGAGGTGGGAATCCATCAGGACGACTTTGGAGAAGGTATAACACACACACACTCACACACACACACACACACACACACACACACACACACACACACTCACACTCACACTCACACTCACTCCACCTGAGCACACTCACTGTCAAAGGTAGGACACACTCTCACTCACTGACACACACACACTCTCACTCACTGACACACACACACTCTCACTCACTGACACACACACACTCTCACTCACTGACTCACACACACACTCTCACTCACTGACTCACACACACACTCTCACTCACTGACACACACACACTCTCACTCACTGACACACACACACTCTCACTCACTGACTCACACACACACTCTCACTCACTGACTCACACACACACTCTCACTCACTGACTCACACACACACTCTCACTCACTGACTCACACACACACTCACACACACAAATATTGCTTTTTATGTTTTCCATTTTCTGTAACGCATAACTTTATAAAGACCACATTTTCCTGCTGTTTTAAAAAAAAATATATATTTTTGTTATGCTTCATTGAATGTAGAATGTGATTCATCTTGTGTGTGTGTTGCAGGGAAGTTCATCACCGTGGGTTGGGGGAAGAAGGAGACTCAGTTCCACGGCTCAGAGGGGAAAGAGGCGGCGAAGAAGAAGATCCAGGTCAAACACACTAACATCAAACATCAAAGATAAATACACAACAATAAGTTTCAAATGAGGAAAGAATGATTATATTCTGTCTGATTCTCTCTCAGGAGGTTCAGCCGGCTGCAGATTGGGACGACCGGCGTCCTCGGGTCACGTGGAGAGGAGACGGTCAGCTGTTCGCTGTCAGTGCCGTGTGCAAACAGAGCGGAAACAGAAAGGTCCGAGTCTGGAACAGAGAGGGAGTCCTGCAGGCCACGAGCGAGACCATCAATGGGCTGGAGGCGCCGCTCTGCTGGAAGTAAGAGTTGGTTAAGTTCACTACATGTATTTAGTTTGAGCTCCTGCAGCTGGAGAACTGTTCATATCTGTTAAAGCCCCTTGTGTTTTTCCTGTATGGAATATATTACGGTGGCTGACCGATGCCAACACGTTACAACGTAAAATAAGACCATAAAACATTTCAGTACATACTTGAATACTTCTTTACTTTTACTTGAGTAAAGAAGTTTAGTCAGTACTTCTACTTTCACCAGAGTATTTTTAAACACGAGTATCTGTACTTCTACTGTAGTAAAGGTGTGCGTTGCCCTCTCTGCTGAGGTGTGATTTGATGCTGGATCTGCTCGTTGTGTTTCAGACCCTCAGGCAGTCTGATAGCCAGCTCTCAGCGTCACCCCAACAAACACAGCGTGGTTTTCATGGAGAAGAACGGACTTCTGCACGGAGACTTCACTCTGCCCTTCAGCAAGGACCAGGCCAAGGTCAAACCCTGACTCACACTCAATACAACACAAAGGGGCTTTATTGGCATGACCATATTTTAAACATAGTATTGCCAAAGCATTCTGCACAAGGCGTTCTAACAGAACAAAACACAAATCAACACTAAACTTAAAGGGGACCTATCATGCAAAATGCACTTTTGTACGTCTTTTCTACATGAATATGTGTCCCCGGTGTTCCAGGGAACTCACCAAGTGTCAGAAAACACAACCCTCTCTATTTTCCTCCATACCCAAATCTCTAAAAAAGGGGCTGCAACGGATCTGATAAAAACTGATCCAGATTTGAACACTGTCCTGACGTCAGGACAGTGGCGCTACGGCTATTGGGCCAACTCCACCAATCAGGAGGAGACAGCCACGGCCATTGCCGTTCGAAAGCGCTGGAGACGCTGTAGTACATATGCCAGGCCTGTAGATGATGCTGTTCTCACTGAATCTGCCCTTGCAAAAACAGAGCTAAAAAATGTCAAATTGAGCGAAATGAGGCATGGCTAAAATGCATGATGTTTGGTATTTTGAAAAGAAAAAAAAGTATAAATATGCCTTATATAGGTATGGTCCTACACTATATTATTATAATATAGCATGATAGGTCCACTTTAAATGTCGACAATACATGTGACACACACCGTCACATCTCTGATAATGGTTTCTAGAAGAGGGGAGAAGCCCTTAAGATTCTGTCGTGGATCCGATAACAACATTATATATATTTTATTGTATTTTATTCTATTCTATTTCAATCGGCTGGCTGGGCCACTCACTAGAGGTATATCGCCTCATAAGTTCAGTTATAAGTTCGCAAAATCAATCAAATGTAGGTCAATGATTCTTGATACTAGAATACACTTTAAGAAGCAACCAGCTCACAGCTCTCCATGGGGTTTACTTTATTTTGTTAGCAGCTCATTCCTTAAAACCAGTGGCGGCGCCAGGGTATGGCTGGGGTAGGCTACAGCCATACCAAGAGATGGCTTAGCCCCACCTTAGCCCCACCATGAAAAAGCATGTTGAGAACACGGATTGCGAAAATATACGGGTCGTGTCCACAGCACACAAACTGATCCTGCTGTAACAACAAGTGCACGTTACTGATGCAATGTGGTTGAGACCATTCGGGCTTATGCTAGAAGAGGGGTGCAAGGAATAGTCTAAGTAGTGGGGGAGTTTTATACACTAAAGGTGTGGAAATTCTCTGGCGTTATAATATCAGCGCGGCCGCGGTCAGATCAAAATGCCTCTGAATGCAATTTGAATAGACCTTCAGCCAATCAGAGCAACGCAACGTTGGATCTGCGTCATGCCTTGCTGATTGAGATCAGTCGGAACCGCCTTTCAGTATCCCCATTGGATCTTCAACGTGTACTATCATACGTCACGTTCACAGTGATCCCTTTTTATTTACTACAAGACAAATGTGCCGTTTTATTTCATACAGTTCCATTTTGATTGAGACAGGGAAATAATCTAAACCTCACGCGTGGCGTTTCACTGTATAGCGTGTATGTAATTACATTGCACATACTGACTTGAGCCCCACCACAGTATGGGTTAGCCCTACCAGAGATTACACAACAAAAATACTCTGGAGCCGCCACTGATTAAAACAGAAGCTTCAGATTGATGATAAGAAGAGGAAATATGAAGGGTAGATTTCAAGGTTGTTTGCAAATGTGTTATTGGGCTTTTTTCTTATCAACTTACATTTGTTTGAACATGTTTTCAACTTTAATGGACTGAATTTATTTGAAAATTGGGACACAGAAAGAAGAATACGTAGCAAAACTAAATATATATAGGACTGTTGTGACAGCTATTTAAAAAACTAAAGACTATTATAACAAATGAACAATATTTACATATGACAAATACTATATACTGTATTTAAAGTGGAGAGCTGTAGGGGAAGTATAGCATGGTAATTACAACCCTAACATCCATATGGTAATTGCCTGACAGTGGGGCGACACCCTTCTGTCTGAGAACATTTAGTAGTTAGGAAACCTATATATATATATTGACTTATTATAAATTCCCATGACAATAACCGAGTGTGTCTCTCAGGTGAAGGACCTGCTGTGGAACAGTGACTCCTCTGTGCTGGCCGTCTGGCTGGAGGACATGACGGCTGGAGAGGACGGACTGATCAACACCTGCAGTGAGTTCAGATCAATATGTTTCAGCCAATCAGGGTCACTTTCAATATGTTGATCAGTGACATTAGAGCAGGGGGGGTCAAACTCAAGGACTTCATTTCATGTGGCCCCGCAAGAGCTCTGAAAGAATATAATACGTTTATTATACGGTTACAAGCCGCTTTACAGAAGCACGTTGCCCATAAACTACATGTCCCACAATGCATCTCATTTTGTGACATGCACACTGAAGAGACTTGCAGTTATTTGCCCTAGACTTCTGCTTTCAGACGTAGTTAGGCATGAAGTTATTACCCTATCTGATAATAATCCAATGCAGAGGCAATTATGTAATATAATACATCATTTTAGTATAGTTTTTATTATTAAATATATATATATGTATATTTATATAGTCTTAAAGTTACAACCGGCCCTTTGAGTGCAACGATAATGCTGATGTGGCCCGCGATGAAATTGGGTTTGACCTCCCTGCCTTAGAGCCTCACCTGAAGAGTTGTACAGGACAAAAGAAACACAGGATAGGGTGAACATTAAAATAACAAGTATATATTTATAATGAATGCCCTCTTTAATGTCCCCCCCCCTGCAGTCCAGCTGTGGACGGTGGGGAACTACCACTGGTATCTGAAGCAGAGCCTGGACTTCGGCAGGGACGCTCTGAGGGCCCCGCGGTGCGTCTGCTGGGACCCTGAACGGCCCCTCAGGCTCCACATGTTGACCCACAGCTGGACCAGCGTCACCTACGACTGGAGCTTCACCACCGACAAGAGCTCGGGGTCAGAGGGCAGCGACAACGCCAACGTGGCCGTGATCGATGGAGGTGAGAGCCAATCAGACGAGAGGACAGGGGGCGGGGTGAGGATGGAGAAACATAGGGGCCGAAACTAATTAGTAAATAACTGATTAAATAAGGAAAAGTGTTTTGACTCTGTTCGCAAGAAAACAGAAAACATGCTTCTTCTGATACCAGAGAGGCATTATAAGTCTGCCTCTTTTCACCCTCTGTCTGAAACCAGAGCCCACTCTGCTGTGATTGGTCAACAGCTTAGAGATTGGTCTAGCTTTCAAACTCTGATTATTTATTTTTCTTTGTACTATTTCTGTCTGTGAGCATTAGGAAAAGCGCTATAAAAATCCAATGTATTATTATTATTATTATTATTATTAGCCTATCATGTACAACAGGCGCTTTCACACCGGAGTACTTTTCCCAGGAATAGTTACGATAGTTCTTGGGATTTTGCGTTCACACCAAAAAGATCTGGAACTAGAACGGCTTCATTTGCGTAATCCTCCCTCTGGGATTTATTCCGGTGTGAACGCGATTTACTAGGACAGTTCCGGGACGAAAGAGTTCGGCGGGGCTAAGTACTGGGAACTAAGTACGGCAAAGTACTTTGTGTTAAAGAGGCTAATGTGTTGGAGAGCTAGCCAATAGGAGTGTGTGTAGCTGACGCTCAAAGTGCCCTTATTTCTTGTTTAGTGCCTAATGTATACTTTGTTTTATTTTGTTAAAAATGATAGTTATCTTTCTGAAAGTCATGTGACCCCTAGCCCTGGATGTTTACATTAGCCGCTTTCACACCAAGTACTTTGCCGTACTTAGTTCCCAGTACTTAGTCCCGCCGAACTCTTTTGTCCCTGGAACTATCTAGTAGATCGCGTTCACACCGGAATAAGTTCCCTGAGGGAGGATTACGCAAACGAAGCCGCTGACGTCACTTCTTCTTCTTCTGCTTTGGGTTTACTGGCAGGCCGCAAACAACTTCACGGCGTATACTGCCACCCGGAGTCCCGGAGCCCCCCGGACTTCGGGTGGCAGTAAATCGCCAGAAGCGCAGACACCTCCTCATCACTCCACCGCTCCCACGTTTTATTTTGTGTTGCCATAAGTTAGTCTCTCTCCGTTGGTGCGCGGGGCTAATGCTAATGCTAATGCTAATGCGGGCAAATAAAATGGCGGCTTCACAAAACCTTTCAGAGTTTTACGGGGCGTGGTTTGCAATCCGCCCAGCCAATCAGAAATTGGAGCCGTTTCCTCCCAGGAAAGCACCTGCTCTCTAGCAGGGACTGAAAAGGGGGTGAAAAAGGTTCCCGAGAACTAGGTTCTAGTTCCAGATCTTTTTGGTGTGAACGCAAAATCCCAAGAACTATCGTAACTATTCCTGGGAAAAGTACTCCGGTGTGAAAGCGCCTCTTGTGTTTGAGAGAGAGTAAAACGGCGCTAAAAGTTCCAACGATGTTAATAACGTGCCTTTTCTGCCGGTCCACACGTTTTCACGGTGTTTCCTAATTGTTCCAAGAGGTAAATAAACGTGATTGTGGAAGTTCGATGCGTCACGTTCTTTCAAGACCAGAGTAGTTACAGCATGAGTGTTACAAAGTGATGTCACTATGATCCAGAAGTAAACAAAGGAGTCCAATGGGGGTGTTACTGTGGCAACATGATATCAACATTTCTCTTTGTTTCTAACAGATAAAATCCTGGTGACGAACTTCCGTCAGTGTGTGGTCCCGCCCCCCATGTGCTCCTTTGAGCTGCAGCTGAGCTCACCTGTCAATCAGGTGACCTTCCTGTGCCAGCCGCAGAGGACCAATCAGCTGGCAGCGCTGACTTCTGACGGACAGATTTCACTCTACGTGCAAGGTGGGTCACATGGTTTGTTTTCTTTAATGATGAGTTCTGTTTTGGGTCTAAATACTGTCTTAATTCATTTGTTTTCACACCAACAGATTTAGGAAATGATTTGGACCTATCAGCTGACGGGTTTCGCAGGATGTCCCGCCCCCTCGTCCTGCAGAAAACCTTCAGGTAACTTCCTGCAAATTATTCACTCTCAGGACTCACACAGTACTTTGTTTTTAATCATACGAGTGAAATACTTATTGTCAAACCAACACGCAAAGCTCCAGAGGCTTGATTTGGTATTATACCAGAGCTTCAGTGTTTGGTGAATGCCAATCTGAAGTCACATGCAATTTAGAGGTGGGAGAAGTACTCCTTTACTTAAGTTAAGTAGAAGTACGATGTTCTTAAAATACAACATGACAAGCTAAGGCCCTGGTCACGGTTGCTAAGTAGGCAAGGCGTGCATCATGTCAAAGAATCATATCATGTCAAATGTAATTAGGAACTTTAAGTGTAAATTATTATTGATTTACTTTTGAAAACGGTGAAGCAATCAGGCAGCGGGTGGATATCTACTGCAGTGTGTGTGTGTGTGTTAATGATGTCTCTCTCTCCTCAGAGTGTGTGTGGAGCCTCTCTCTCTGCAGTGTGTGTTAATGATGTCTCTCTCTCTCCTCAGAGTGTGTGTGGAGCCTCTCTCTCTGCAGTGTGTGTGTGTGTGTGTTAATGATGTCTCTCTCTCTCCCTCAGAGTGTGTGTGGAGCCTCTCTCTCTGCAGTGTGTGTGTTAATGATGTCTCTCTCTCTCCCTCAGAGTGTGTGTGGAGCCTCTCTCTCTGCAGTGTGTGTGTGTTAATGATGTCTCTCTCTCCTCAGAGTGTGTGTGGAGCCTCTCTCTCTGCAGTGTGTGTGTGTGTGTTAATGATGTCTCTCTCTCCTCAGAGTGTGTGTGGAGCCTCTCTCTCTGCAGTGTGTGTGTGTGTGTGTTAATGATGTCTCTCTCTCTCCCTCAGAGTGTGTGTGGAGCCTCTCTCTCTGCAGTGTGTGTGTGTGTGTTAATGATGTCTCTCTCTCTCCCTCAGAGTGTGTGTGGAGCCTCTCTCTCTGCAGCAGCTCCTCTGGCTGCAGGAGGACCTGTTTGTGTGTTTGACCTCCAGCCTGCAGACGACCTCCAGCCTGCAGACGACCTCCACCCTCATCCTGCTGCTGCACCCTGACCCCGATGATGAGGACTCTCTCTCTGTCAGGTCAGCACCACTAGCTTACATATGGATTCTGCATTTTGTATATTTTAAGTAATTGCTGTTGTCTAACTTTTTATTTAAAAATATATAAAAAATGTCGTGCTTTTGGGTTATACGTGTTGTGTATTAATCTCAATACAAACTTGATCACAAAAAAAAAGAAGGAGCATGATACCAACACCTGAACTTTTGAAAGAACATCCATAACATCTGTCTGCAACTCACAAAAGATGTATCAATAATATATCATATTCCAATCACTTGTATGTAGACTCTCCTTGCACTATTTAAACAATGTAATCTGTGTCATTGTGTTGCTCTGCTGGAGGAGCCGTGACCTCAGAGTGTCATTGATATCTCTGCGCTGTCTGAACACATCGCAATGAAAGCCTTGAATGCTCTTGAATATGTTCCCGTTGCTTCAGGTCTCAGGTGGAGGTGGATGGAGTTGTGCTCAGTCTGGCTCACGGCTCTCAGAGCGGCTCTGTGGCTCTGCAGCTGGAGCACGGACAGATCCGGAGGCTCCTCTACAGTGAGTCACAACTCTGCTTCTGTAATCAAGTCAAGTTATGAGGAGAAAAAAGTCCATTTCTGGGAAATAAGTGAAATTGTAATAAAAAAAATTGGGGGGGAAATGTCAAATTGCGAGATTAAAGTCACATTTTGGAGAGAAAAAAGTCAAATTTGGGGCAAATTAGTCAAAAAAAAAAAAAAAGGTCAAACGGCGAGATTAAAGTCAATTTTGGGGGAAAAAGTCAATTTTCGGGAAAAAGGTACATTTTTGGGGGAAAAAGTCAAACTTCAGGATTAAAGTCAATTTTGGGAAAAAAAATCTATTTTCTGGGGAAAAAAGTAAAATTGTAATTAAAAAAAAAAAGGCAATTTTTGGGGGAAAAAGTCAAACTGCGAGAAAAAGTAAAATTTTGGGGGAAAAGTAAAATGTGGGGAGAATAGTCACATTTTGGGAAAAATAGTCAAATAACAAAAAAAGTCAATTTTCAGGATTAAAGTCACATTTTGGGAAAAAAGTCTATTTTCTGGGGAAAAAGTAAAATTGTAATAAAAAAAAGGCAATTTTTGGGGGAAAAAGTCAAACTGTGAGAAAAAAGTAAAATTTGGGGGAAATAGTCAAAAAAAAAAAATAGTCAAATTTGAGGAAAAAAGTCAATTTTCAGGATTAAAGTCACATTTTGGGAAATAAGTCAAAGTGATGTTCAAAATGAAACTCCCACTGTACATTTAACATTTAATGTAACATTCTCTACTTTTTTAATGCTATTTTATTTCTATTTGAGATGTTTAAATTGTTTATTTCTACTCTTTTAGTTTCTCATGTTAATGCCTTGTTGTTCATGCTGCTGCAACGCAAACATTTCCCAAATTGGGTTTCAATAAAGTTCTTCTTCTCTTATCTCTTATCTTAAAATGCATGCATTCAGAATCTGTTATTTGGTATTTTGGTAAACCCCCAGCCTCAGAGACAGTTTCATCCCACAGGCCGTCAGACATGTAAACACCTGAGCTCCGTAAAGAACATCCATAACACTCATCGTGCTATTCATCTATAAATCAGATTCCATTGACTTTACAGACGCTTCTTGCACTATTTCTATTTTATTTGTATTTACTTGCACATCTCAAAACATTCTCTTGCACTATTCATTCATGTTGCTCTTTTGGAGGAGGACTTCAGATTCTCATTGACATATCTACACTGAAGCTGCTGAGCTCATGGTGAGAGAGACTTGAATGTAATCCTGTATTCTTAAACTGTGCAGATGGTCCTGATCCCTCAGTGGAGGAATGGAGAGATTCCAGCGGGTGTCTCATCAACTTCCCGGTTCCCTGCGTCCAGACGGCGCTCTGCAGCATCAGTGGGGAGGTACGCATCATATGTTTAACATAACTTGACTCAATCTAAGTGAGATCCTGGGTGAAATACTTCCCTCTGCTCTGCCTCTCAGGAACATCTGCTCGGGCTGACGGACAGATCCCACCTGTACGTCGGAGACACTGAGGTAACACCTTCAATCAATATGTTTATTATAAAAAAAGGGGCTGATGGGAAATATTTTTAATTCATGTTTTACTCATTTTCTCAGCTGGCATCCAATATTTCCTCTTTCGCCGTGTGCAACGACTTCCTGCTCATCACCACACACTCACACACCTGCCGCTGCCTCCACCTGAACACACTCACTGTCAAAGGTAGGACACACACACACACACACACACACACACACTCACACACTCACACACTCACACACTCACACACACACACACTCACACACTCACACACTCACACACACCTGCTGCTGCCTCCACCTGAACACACTCACTGTCAAAGGTAGGACACACACACACACACTCACACACACACACTCACACACACACACACACACACACACACACACAGACTCACACACTCACACACTCACACACTCACACACTCACACACACCTGCCGCTGCCTCCACCTGAACACACTCACTGTCAAAGGTAGGACACACACACACACACTCACAGACTCACACACTCACACACTCACACAATCACACACTCACACACACACACACACTCACACACCTGCCGCTGCCTCCACCTGAACACACTCACTGTCAAAGGTAGGACACACACACACACTCACACACTCACTGTCAAAGGTAGGACACACACACACACACACACACTCACTCTCACACACTCACTCTCACACACTCACACTCACACACACACACACACACACACACACACACACACACACACACACACACACACACACACACACACACACACACACACACACACAAGACAACATTAATCTGAACGACAGAGATGAGTTATTTCAACGCAATTTCCCGATTATTTGAGAAGGAATCCTTTTAGCTGGTTAAGTACATTCTTAGAATAAGTGAGAAATGGATGTAACTTCTGATTGACAGCCTTCACACTGGAGAAATAACAAACTGGAAATGCAATCATTATTAATATCTAATTCTTAACTGTGAATTGTTTTCATTTATTAACATTAGAAATGTTTTAGTCTCGCCAAACTTTTCCTGTTGAGATTCCTCGCTTTGGATAAAAGCGTCTAACAAGTGACTCAATGTAATGTACCTTTGTTATTCATGTTTTATCATCTTTGAAACGAGTGTTTTTAAATGCAGTTTTGTAATATGTTTCTTAATGTCTCTCATGTTTGTAAAGCGAGTTGCCTTGTGTTGAAAGATGCTGTATAAATAAACTTGCCTTGCCTTGAATCTTGAATCTTGAACCTTTGACCCCACAGGTCTGCAGGCGGCCCTGGTTTCAGACGGAGGGCAGAACGATCAGAACGATGAGACCCTGCGTCGCGTGGAGAGAGGATCCAGGATCGTCACGGTGGTGCCGCACGACACCAGAGTCATCCTGCAGGTGGGAGAGACGCACAGTGGCACACCTGTCTGATGGTGCATTCGTTGTCCGATGTGAGGGTCTAAGGCGTATTCTGTACGGACTCTAAAGCCCCCTGAGAGACATGTAGAATTTGTGATTTTGGGTTATATAAATATACTTTGATTGATAATAAAAATAATACATGTTATTTGTTTAGCGCTTTTCCTTTTAACATATGTTTGCAGCGTGTGATTGAGCATAGGGTCTTGTAACATGTATACAGGTATAGTGCTGTTTAAGCTAAAATAAGTGTATCCTTTGATATTCTGTTATTCTCTAGACAGAAACATGGACTTGACGCAAGTGTTCTGGCTCTTATCCTGTTGAACAACAATATAAGAATGTCTTCAATCAGCAGAGTGTCCGTGTTTCTATTTTGTTATATATTTGGTTATGTCTTGAGTGTCTAAAGTTTACGATCCACGACAATGATGTGTGTTTTCAAGCATGTCAGAGATCCAGCTGCAGGTTTGAGTGCTGATTGTCTGTGATGTTATTGTGTTGATGTTATTGTGTTGATGTTATTGTTGTTGTTTGTGTCCAGATGCCTCGGGGGAACCTGGAGACGGTTCATCATCGAGCGCTGCTGCTCGCTCAGCTCAGGAAGTGGCTCGACAGGTGAGCTTAACTTCATCAAATCACCTGCTGGTGTTTCACAAGATACATTAAAGGGGACCTATCATGCAAAATGCACTTTTGTACGTCTTTTATACATGAATATGTGTCCCCGGTGTTCCAGGGAACTCACCAAGTGTCAGAAAACACAACCCTCTCTATTTTCCTCCATACCCAAATCTCTAAAAAAGGGGCTGCAACGGATCTGATCAAAACTGATCCAGATTTGAACACTGTCCTGACGTCAGGACGGTGGCGCTACGGCTATTGGGCCAACTCCACCAATCAGGAGGAGACAGCCACGGCCATTGCCGTTCGAAAGCGCTGGAGACGCTGTAGTACATATGCCAGGCCTCTAGGTGGTGCTGTTCTCACTGAATCTGCCCAGAGCTAGAAATGGTCAAATTGAGCAAAATGAGGCATGGCTAAAATGCATGATCTGTTTGGTATTTTGAAAAAAGAAAAAGTATAAATATGCCTTATATAGGTATGGTCCTACACTATATTATTCAAATATAGCATGATAGGTCCACTTTAAGGAGGATCATGATTATATTGTTCTCCTGTTCTGGTGCTCCCTCTCCTGAAGTCAAAGGCAGCTTGATTGTCTATCTTTCAGTGTGTGTGTACAGAGAGATCGAAATACTGTTTCCCACAATCCTGAATACAAAAACAAATATATATAAAAATATGTATATCCTATATATACACATTCAACAGACACATTTATACACATGCACACATTAAGACATCAATAAAAGCACAACAATCAATATATTCAACATAACAGTCACTTCAATGTCTTTGTAGTGTGTTATATAGGTTTTAAGATAAGATGGAGCAGAGAGTTTTCTAGAACACTTTTAGTGCATGTAAATGGTCTGCAGACGCTAAAATGCCTGTGTTCTCTCCTAAGTGTTTAACATGTTGTTTCTCTCAGTTTAAGGTTTAAAGATGCGTTTGAGTGCATGAAGAAGCTGCGGATCAACATGAACCTCATCTACGATCACAACCCGAAGGTGCGTTGAATCGTATAAAGTGACTGTGAACGTGTTTTAATCTGTCCAGTTTATTAATATGCTAAAGCACGATATGATAAATAACGGGTCCATGCAGATAACAGTCTCAATGTTTACTGTCACTGTTGGGGAATCATTTGCCCTAGTGTCCTCCTTCACCCTCTGACGCAGATGCCCAGCCTTGAGCAGCCGTTATCTCCCATAAGGAGGGGCTGCCCTAGCAAGTTGTTGTTGTTACCAGTTTGTGACCGGGCAGCTCTCGCTCAGAGATAGTTATTGTTGTGGGACACCTGGAACACATCCTTCTCGGGGTGTAGATGACCCCGAGCCATAAGCGACAACAAATGTGATTCAGTGTCCTCAGCTGTTTCGTCTATCTATTGAAGAATGTTGATTATTACACTCTGAACTAGTTAAAACCTGGAGCTACAGGAGGGCTCTTCAGAATGGATTGTGGCATCTCAACCGTGTGGTCAGACCGTGGCCCGTGACCTGTCTTGTGAATTCTCCGGCCGAAGCTCCAAATAAACCGTCAGTGTTTGCCATCAAAGCTCCAGCTCTCCTCGTGTCTCTCTGAGTCCTGACTCCATCAAAGCTCCAGCTCTCCTCGTCTCTCTCTGAGTCCTGACTCCATCAAAGCTCCAGCTCTCCTCGTCTCTCTCTGAGTCCTGACTCCATCAAAGCTCCAGCTCTCCTCGTGTCTCTCTGAGTCCTGACTCCATCAAAGCTCCAGCTCTCCTCGTGTCTCTCTGAGTCCTGACTTCATCAAAGCTCCAGCTCTCCTCGTGTCTCTCTGAGTCCTGACTCCATCAAAGCTCCAGCTCTCCTCGTGTCTCTCTGAGTCCTGACTTCATCAAAGCTCCAGCTCTCCTCGTGTCTCTCTGAGTCCTGACTCCATCAAAGCTCCAGCTCTCCTCGTGTCTCTCTGAGTCCTGACTTCATCAAAGCTCCAGCTCTCCTCGTGTCTCTCTGAGTCCTGACTCCATCAAAGCTCCAGCTCTCCTCGTGTCTCTCTGAGTCCTGACTCCATCAAAGCTCCAGCTCTCCTCGTGTCTCTCTGAGTCCTGACTCCATCAGAGCTCCAGCTCTCCTCGTGTCTCTCTGAGTCCTGACTCCATCAAAGCTCCAGCTCTCCTCTCTCTGAGTCCTGACTCCATCAAAGCTCCAGCTCTCCTCGTGTCTCTCTGAGTCCTGTCTCCATCAAAGCTCCAGCTCTCCTCGTGTCTCTCTGAGTCCTGACTCCATCAAAGCTCCAGCTCTCCTCTCTCTGAGTCCTGACTCCATCAAAGCTCCAGCTCTCTTCGTGTCTCTCTGAGTCCTGACTCCATCAGAGCTCCAGCTCTCCTCGTGTCTCTCTGAGTCCTGACTCCATCAGAGCTCCAGCTCTCCTCGTGTCTCTCTGAGTCCTGACTCCATCAAAGCTCCAGCTCTCCTCGTGTCTCTCTGAGTCCTGACTCCTATTGCTTCAGAAGTTTCCCCCACTGTCCCCTTATTGCTAATGCAGGGGGTCCGCGGGGTCTTAAAACGTATTACAAGTTGTTAAATCAATTTAGCGAAAATGAAGGCTATTAAAAAGTATTAAACGGCATTTTCCAAGGTGTTACATTTTGTAGCTTGTTTTCAATAAGTATATAAATGGTCCAAAGAGGTTGTATTCTACAGTCTGCCTGAATGTAATCATTGCGTAGGTGTGTAGTGTGATTCTGTGTAGTTTATTTATGGCATCCCGTTGCATTTGACGTCATCTGAACAGGACATCGCACGCTCACTGCTTGATAGCGCGCGAAGGTCCGTTTACGCCGGTTGTTAAACAACATCGTTATGGGGAAATGCAAGTCTGCGTCCAAATGGTTGGAAGATAAGGAGGAAGGACAATCAATACTGTATATAGTCAATGTGAGGTAAAGTGTGTCGCCAAGGTAACCGGTTAGAACTCGAAGTGGCGATGAGGTCTTAAAATGTATGGAAAGGGTCCAAAGATCCAAAAATACTTAAAGTTCCAAAAATATTGTAAATTCCAAAAATACTTAAAGTTCCAAAAATACCGTAAATTCCAAAAATACTTAAAGTTCCAAAAATACTTAAAGTTCCAAAAATACTTAAAGTTCCAAATATACTTAAAGTTCCAAAAATACTGTAAATTCGAAAAATACTTAAAGTTCCAAAAATACTTAAAGTTCCAAAAATACTTATAGTTCCAAATATACTTAAAGTTCCAAAAATACTGTAAATTCGAAAAATACTTAAAGTTCCAAAAATACCGTAAATTCCAAAAATACTTAAAGTTCCAAAAATACTTAAAGTTCCAAAAATACCGTAAATTCCAAAAATACTTAAAGTTCAAAAAATACTTAAAGATCCAAAATACTTAAAGTTCCAAATATACCGCAAATGGTTAGAAGATAAGGAGGAAGGACAATCAATACTGTATGTAGTCAATGTGAGGTGAAGTGTGTCGCCAAGGTAACCGGTTAAAACTCCAAGTGGCGATGAGGTCTTAACATGTATGGCAAGGATCTTAAAAAAGGTCTTAAAAGGTTTTACATGTGACTTCAGGATTCCTGATAGACCCTGTAATGTTTACTCCTCCCTGTAACTGCAAGGCTATTTCACTGCAACTGGTGAAATGTTCTCAACTGTCTTCTAAATAAAGAGTTGTAAAAATAATAATAACGGGTCCTTTTTCTGCAGGTGTTCCTGGAAAACATCCAGACCTTCATCACTCAGCTGAACTCCATCAGCCACATCAACCTCTTCCTCACTGAGCTCAAGTCAGTCTCTCTTCACACCTTCATCATCTTCAGTTTGGGGTTTAAAAACTCCTAATTTTAACGGTTATTCTTCCCCCCCCCCACAGAGAGGAGGATACGACCGGCAGCATGTACCCCCGCCCCCCCGACATTAGCCCCGCCCCCCAACCCGTCTCCCTGCAGAAGAAGGTGGATGTCGTTTGTGATGCTTTACGCAGCGCCATGGAGGCGATGGATCCCAACAAGTCAGTGTTTTCACTCGTTATCGCGGGTATGGGTGTGAGGTAGCAGGGTTTAAAGGTCACCTCATGCTATTTTTAGGCAATAGCATAGGTCTCAGATATATTAAAAAAATATTTAAAAAAACATGTCCATCAAGTGTTTTGCTCAAAATACCAAACAGATCACCCGTTCTAGCCATGCCTCATATCCCTCTATTTCACTTCCTGTTTCAAAAGTGCTGATTCTGGGTATAAACAGGTCTCTCTTGAGAATGAGACCCTGTGTCTCAATGAGATTTTGAGAAGAAGGGGGGAGCTTATGGCGGCTAATGCGCGACCTGGCAGGATACTGGCCGTTTCTCAATCGCGAGGATGCTTGCTTGGTAGCACAGCCGAGCCGAGCATCTTGCTTCAGAAGCAAGGCAAGAATACTTCCTGCCATTCGGAAAACGAAGAGTGGAACAGGCTAGCAAGTGTGCAGGTGTGCGTCATATGAGAGGCCCCGCCTTACATCTTCCACCACAGATTTGGGCAAATTGGTCCATGCGCAAAGCATTGTGGGGATTTTAAGGAACGCGAAGTCTACCCATGTGCAGCCTCGAAATTTCCCCCAAACCAAGGACGCGGCCTCGGTGGAATTCCAAGTATGCTGGAGATTGGAACAATCCTTCGGCGGCACACGTAGCATTGAAATATTGGCCCAATATCCTCGCGATTGAGAAACGGCCTCTGTCTAAAATGCTGCGGTGATGAAACGCAAGGATTATTAGATCAAGGATTCTTTCTGAAACAGTATGGAGCTCAAAGGCTTTCTCTCTTGCCGGTTATACCACAAGGTGAGTTCCTTTTGATTTCCTGCTTCTTCACACACATGCTCTCCAGTACAGGTTAGCTCTGAGTGTTAGCGATGCTAATGTAACCACAGACCATATTACGTCCAAAAACAGTCGGGCATTGTTTCTGATAGCAACGTTTCTGATAATGCCGTGGGTCCACATTTCAGATATTACGTCATATCGGACGCAAATCTGGATCAGCTCCGTTGTTCCCCCGTTTTTAGAGATTTGGGTACGGAGGAAAAGAGAGAGGGTTTTATTTTCTGACGCTGCGTGAGTTCCCCGACACACCGGGGACACATGTTTAGGTAGAAAAGACATCAAAAAGTGCATTTTGCCTGATAGGTCCCCTTTAAAGATTTCCTATCATGCAAAATGCACTTTTTGGTGTCGGGGAACTCACGCAGCGTCAGAAAATAAAACCCTCTCTCTTTTCCTCCGTACCCAAATCTCTAAAAACGGGGCTACAACGGAGCTGATGCAGATTTGCTGCGTCATGACGACATTACTAAAATATGGGCTGGACCCAGAATCAGCACTTTAGTAACAGCTGAAACAGAGGGGTTTGACGCTCAAATGATCTGTTTGGTATTTTGAGCAAAACACTTCATAGACATGTTTTTGATATTTCTGAGACCTATAATATAAGCCTAGAAATAGCATAATAGGAGACCTTTAAGTGTCCTCACAGGTACAGGTGTGAGTGGTCGAAGCTGTGATGAACACACGCTGTTTTAGGTTCATATGAATGGTCATTCAAGCTATAACTTCTTATAAATGTAATGAACTTTTTATTAGATATTGCCAGCTTTTATCAACTGATTTGAATGAGAACAGATCTCTGGGAGCCTTGAGAAAAGGGTTAGTTTATTTATACAGCACATTTTCAGACACAAGATGTGGGTGCGGAGGAAAAGAGAGATGGTTTTATTTTCTGACACACCGGGGACACATAGTGATGTATAAGAGACATCAGAAAGAGCATTGTACATGATAGGAGACCTTTAGATCAGCTGTTGCTCCATTACGCCTCCAGTGTTCAAAGTCAGTCGTATATAACTGGGTGCAACACGCTCAGATAAAGCCGCTATGTGGACACGGACCCTGAACCCTTGAAACTTGACTCTGACTTCATTCATTCAGCTCTGCAGTGATCAGGCCCGGCATGTGATTAATGGTAGATGGATCAACAGTGGAATAAATCCTGTTCCCACTCAATCATCCAGGTTCTTCCTCTCCATCCTGACAACTCACGTGAAGAAGAGCGTCCCCGAGCTGGAGGTCGCTCTGCAGAAAGTCCACGAGCTGAGAGGTGAGCTGCAGGACGGTGTGATGTATTCCTTCATCTTCCTCACTGAGCAGGTGTTTGTACCTCCTCACCTCCTCACTGAGCAGGTGTTTGTACCTCCTCACCTCCTCACTGAGCAGGTGTTTGTACCTCCTCACCTCCTCACTGAGCAGGTGTTTGTACCTCCTCACCTCCTCACTGAGCAGGTGTTTGAACCTCCTCACCTCCTCACTGAGCAGGTGTTTGTACCTCCTCACTGAGCAGGTGTTTGTACCTCCTCACCTCCTCACTGAGCAGGTGTTTGAACCTCCTCACTGAGCAGGTGTTTGTACCTCCTCACCTCCTCACTGAGCAGGTGTTTGTACCTCCTCACCTCCTCACTGAGCAGGTGTTTGAACCTCCTCACTGAGCAGGTGTTTGAACCTCCTCACCTCCTCACTGAGCAGGTGTTTGTACCTCCTCAGTGAGCAGGTGTTTGCACCTCCTCACCTCCTCAGTGAGCAGGTGTTTGCACCTCCTCACCTCCTCACTGAGCAGGTGTTTGAACCTCCTCAGTGAGCAGGTGTTTGCACCTCCTCACCTCCTCACTGAGCAGGTATTTGAACCTCCTCAGTGAGCAGGTGTTTGAACCTCCTCACCTCCTCACTGAGCAGGTGTTTGCACCTCCTCACTGAGCAGGTATTTGAACCTCCTCAGTGAGCAGGTGTTTGAACCTCCTCACTCACTGAGCAGGTGTTTGAACCTCCTCACTGAGCAGGTGTGTGTACCTCCTCACCTCCTCACTGAGCAGGTATTTGAACCTCCTCACTGAGCAGGTGTTTGAACCTCCTCACTCACTGAGCAGGTGTTTGAACCTCCTCACTGAGCAGGTGTTTGAACCTCCTCACTGAGCAGGTGTTTGAACCTCCTCACTGAGCAGGTGTTTGAACCTCCTCACTGAGCAGGTGTGTGTACCTCCTCACCTCCTCACTGAGCAGGTGTTTGAACCTCCTCACCTCCTCACTGTGTGACTCTGTGTCTCTTTAGTGAACCCTCCAGCTGATCCTGGGTCTGTGAGCGCTGAAGAGGCTCTGAAGTACCTCCTCTTCCTCGTCAACGTCAACGACCTCTACGATCACTCGCTGGGAACGTACGACTTCGACCTGGTGCTCATGGTGGCCGAGAAATCACAGAAGGTTTGAGATAACCTACCGAGTAACAAAGTGCTTCAGGGCAGGAATACAAAAGATGGTTTTGGATATCAAACGGATCAGTTATTAAACCAGCCCTCATTTCCATTCACATGCCATCAGTGATGTGTAGGACCTGTGTACCTTAGAGCATCAAGAAGCTTTCAAGGAAACATCTTGTCCTCATTAATGTTAAAATTATGCAGCGAAAATTAAGACTGCTAGATGTCGGACAGATTTACTCAGAAATATTTAACGTACGCCACAAGATGCCTACAAAGTCACTGAGATCATCTTTGAGGAAGATTGCGGCGTAGTGGGACATTCAGTTTCCAGGTATCTACAGAATGCACCATGAGTTTATATATTTCATTTGAAACAAGATATGAAGGATATAAACGGGAAAGGGTTAGGGTCACATGGTGGCTTTTAGAAATGCATTTTTAACGTCTGCGTGGCCAAATGGTGGCGCTCATAATTTAAACGTGTTTATTATTGAGCCCCCCAGCTTGGACCTGTATGTTCAGACAGTGAGAGTCATTAAGCAGACTCGTACAGCAGCAGCTCCTCACAGATACAAACATCAACGTACATTCACAAAGATGCATTATTTGGATAAACTAATCACATAGTGGTAATCTAAATGCTTGGTTTCTCGCCTGAAAAGTCTTCTAACTTAGTCAGTTAGCTGAAAAAAGCTGGCGAAGCTATCAGAGTTACACAACATAAGACAATGTGAAAAGTGCCCTATCGTAAAGTGACATGCATTACCTAAGCTGTGATTGGTGGGTGTATTTTACATGACATGTTACTTGTAAGTCACTTTTATCCAAAGCGACTTACATACTCAATACTGTGGACAATCCCCACAGGAGCACTTTGGGGTGAAGTGTCTCAGGGACACAACGACATGCTGACTGCAGTGGGGATTGAACCTGTGACCCTGTGACCCCCCTGATCCGAACACCCACTGCGCCACACGCCTCGTGTATTTCCAGTGTGTTAATGTCCGCCCCCCCTCCCCCTCCCCTGCAGGACCCCAAAGAGTACCTTCCCTTCCTGAACATGCTGAAGAGTCTGGAGCCGAACTACCAGCGCTACAGCATCGATAAACACCTGAAGCGCTACAGGAAGGCTCTGCAGCACCTCAGCAGGGCGGGTCAGTGGTCTGTTTATCTATATCAGTGTTTATCAAACTGTTTCACACCAAGCACCACTTCAAACCAATACAAAAACACACACGGACCACCTAACTCCTACATCTAATATGTATATATGACGCAAATAGGGATGGGTATCGTTAAGGTTTTAATGGTACTGCTACTTCTATCGATACCGCTTATCGATCCGGTCTTTTAACGGTACTCTTATCGGTTCTTTTGGAGAGAGAAAAAAGGTAAACTAACTAAACAAATTGTGAACAAAACTAACATTGCTTTTTATTTAAATCAAAAGAAACAATGTTTTAATGGTATTAAATAATGTGATGACAGAACTGTAAACAGAATAGCTGAAACTTTAACTAAATAACTAACTCAGTTCCCTCTAATCATTAACCCATGTTTGTATCATTGAGTTAGCACCGTGTGTTGCTGCTAGCATACATAACACCTGACGTGGACGTTGTATTCATCTTGAATCTGTGCTGTCCTGTTTTTCATTCTCACCCTGTTGCTGTTAAACTACTGAATGTCCCCACGGGGGTCCATCTTATCTCATCTCCCCAAATATCCAAAACAAACGGCCTGCTCACCACTCCAACAGTAAATAACAAATGACAGCCTAATAATAACTTCTCTATATCGCCTCGCTCACACATTAAATCCATTCCCTTCATATGATATTTAAAATGCTCGTAGGTTCAACACCTCATGAAATGTAGATGTAGCACCTTTAGTCCTATCTCATACCAAGAACAGAGGCGCTAACATCGACCTGGGTTCGTAAAGTGGTATGCCGTGAATAACTCTGGGAAGAGTTTTTTTAGTTGAAGATTTTACAATTGTATTGCCAGCAGTGTTCAACAACATTTACATTAAATTGTGCCAACAATATGAAAAGGAATGAAAATAAAAAATAGAGCTCTTTAACACACAAATAGTCTCTTCCCTTTGATCGAGAGTGTGTGTGTGTGTGTGTGTGTGTGTGTGTGTGTGTGTGTGTGTGTGTGGCTGGCTGGCTGGCTGGCTGGCTGGCTGGCTGGCTGGCTGGCTGGCTGGCTGGCTGGCTGGCTGGCTGGCTGGCTGGCTGGCTGGCTGGCTGGCTGGCTGGCTGGCTGGCTGGCTGGCTGGCTGGCTGGCTGGCTGGCTGGCTGGCTGGCTGGCTGGCTGGCTGGCTGGCTGGCTGGCTGGCTGGCTGGCTGGCTGGCTGGCTGGCTGGCTGGCTGGCTGGCTGGCTGGCTGGCTGGCTGGCTGGCTGGCTGGCTGGCTGGCTGGCTGGCTGGCTGGCTGGCTGGCTGGCTGGCTGGCTGGCTGGCTGGCTGGCTGGCTGGCTCTCTGGCTCTGGCTGGCTCTCTGGCTCTCTGGCTCTCTGGCTCTCTGGCTCTCTGGCTCTCTGGCTCTCTGGCTCTCTGGCTCTCTGGCTCTCTGGCTCTCTGGCTCTCTGGGGCTCTCTGGCTCTCTGGCTCTCTGGCTCTCTGGCTCTCTGGGGCGCTCTGGCTCTCTGGCTCTCTGGGGCTCTCTGGCTCTCTGGCTCTCTGGCTCTCTGGCTCTCTCTCTGGCTCTCTGGCTCTCTGGCTCTCTGGCTCTCTGGCTCTCTGGCTCTCTCTGGCTCTCTGGCTCTCTGGCTCTCTGGCTCTCTGGCTCTCTGGCTCTCTGGCTCTCTGGCTCTCTGGCTCTCTGGCTCTCTGGCTCTCTGGCTCTCTGGCTCTCTGGCTCTCTGGCTCTCTGGCTCTCTGGCTCTCTGGCTCTCTGGCTCTCTGGCTCTCTGGCTCTTCTACCCGGGTAGAGCTAATAGTGTACTGGTTCTTATCTGGATCAGATCAGTGTGAATTCAGCAGGATTCTTCAAATCACGCGTCCTCTGTAGGCCACACCGCTTCCAACAACCGCTCACAGACTCTGGGCTTGGCTCGCCATCGATCCCAACTCAGATTGGATCTGGCTCGCTGACATCAATAAAAAACCAACCGGAGTTTCTACACTTATAAGACGCCACAGGCTGTCGTCTTCTAGTTGGGGTTCACACAGGGGTTCTTGCAGGTCAGAGTTTGTTAACTGATATAGTTGAGAGTACAAATAACACTTTTTAAATACTATTATGCACACTACACTAGGAGCTGCTCGACTTATGTCTCTGCGTCTTCAGGGTGTTCACAGGGGAAAGAGAGAGAGAGGGGGAGTGATTCGCTCCACTCATTACCCTGGGTGCTCCGTGCAGAAACAACATGTATTCATACATCTAAATGACATAAAGGGGTCTAGTAGCCCTATATTTCATATGGGTTACATAGACTACATTTATTACGGACAGACTCACAGATCGTTTTCTACTGAGAGAAATGCAAAATGCACCGCATGTAGTACGACACAAACCTCAAAACAAAATACAGTAAAACTTTGGTTGCAGACCGAGTTTAGCATGAAACATTAAACACAAGTTCATTATTTACACTGTTCCATCTACTTAGCATTGTTTACTCACTCATTGACTGCGTGTCTTGGTTGCCTCCTATACTAGTCACTTTGAAACAAAACACTTTGAATTTATAATTGATTTGATGTGATCTGTGTTTCAGGCGCAGAACATTTCCCAGAAGCCCTGCAGCTGGTGAAGGAGCAGAAACTGTACAGTGAAGCTCTGAGACTTTACTCTGCAGACCCTCCTCACTACAAGGTAACAGATCAGCTGATTATCATCCAGACGCATCACACACATGCTCAGGGTATCTTCAGAGATGATGTCTTAAAGGGGACCTATCATGCTAAATGCACTCTCTGATGTCTTCTCTACATCACCATGTGTCCCCGGTGTGTCCCCCGTGTGTCCCCGGTGTATCAGGAGACTCACTAAGTGTCCGAAAATAAACGGGCTTTACACCCACGGGCCAATCAGAAACGTTGCTGTCAGAAACAATGAGATGTGTTCTGGAAGTAATATGGTCTGTGTTTACATTAGCATGCTAACACTCAGAGCTAACCTGTACTGGAGAGAGTATGTGTGAAGAAGCAGGAAATCAAAAGGAACTCACCTTGTGGTAAACCTGAGAGAGAGAAAGAGTTTGAGCTCCATACTGTTTCAGAGAGAATCCTTGATGTGGTTTGGAACATGATATGCTACGGACCCAGAATCAGCACTTTAGTAACAGCTGAAATAGAGGGGGATGAGGCTAGAATGATCTGTTTGGTATTTTGAGCCAAACACTTCAGAGACATGTTTTTAATATATTTGTATATATCTGAGACTTATAATATATGCCTATAAATAGCATGATAGGAGACCTTTAATGTCCGTCAGCCGTTCTCCCCTTCTTCCCTCTGCTGCACCGTGCATGAGGGTTTTTAAAAATGTTTTATTAATATATCTTTCAACGCCTCTCCACAAGACTCTTGCTAACAGAATAGTGATGAATCTGATTTGTGTAGACATGGCCCTATAATATACCTTTAAGGAGATTCTGAGCCCTGATCTCTGTCTTGCAGGCTCTGAGCTGTGTGTACGCGGACCACTTGATGCAGAACCAGCAGATGGAGCAGGCTGGCTTGCTGCTCTGGAGATGTGGAGAACCAGCAGCCGCTCTGCAGGCGTTCGCCAGCGCCTCCTGCTGGAGGAACGCTGTGTGTGCAGCACAGCAGATCCCCCTGCCTCCTGACCAGATAGCACTGCTGGCACGAGACCTCGCAGGTAAACTAGAACACGGGTAGAGGGAACACGGTTAGAGGGAACACGGTTAGAGGGAACACGGGTAGAGGGAACACGGTTAGAGGGAACACGGGTAGAGGGAACACGGGTAGAGGGAACACGGGTAGAGGGAACACGGGTAGAGGGAACACGGGTAGAGGGAACACGGGTAGAGGGAACACGGTTAGAGGGAACACGGTTAGAGGGAACACGGGTAGAGGGAACACGGGTAGAGGGAACACGGGTAGAGGGAACACGGGTAGAGGGAACACGGGTAGAGGGAACACGGTTAGAGGGAACACGGTTAGAGGGAACACGGGTAGAGGGAACACGGTTAGAGGGAACACGGTTAGAGGGAACACGGGTAGACGGAACACGGTTAGAGGGAACACGGGTAGAGGGAACACGGGTAGAGGGAACACGGTTAGAGGGAACACGGTTAGAGGGAACACGGGTAGAGGGAACACGGGTAGAGGGAACACGGTTAGAGGGAACACGGGTAGAGGGAACACGGGTAGACGGAACACGGTTAGAGGGAACACGGTTAGAGGGAACACGGTTAGAGGGAACACGGTTAGAGGGAACACGGTTAGAGGGAACACGGTTAGAGGGAACACGGGTAGAGGGAACACGGGTAGAGGGAACACGGTAGAGGGAACACGGTTAGAGGGAACACGGGTTAGAGGGAACACGGGTAGAGGGAACACGGGTAGAGAGAACACGGGTAGAGGGAACACGGGTAGAGGGAACACGGGTAGAGGGAACACAGGTTCAACAAAAGCGCTTTACAGCATAAGTTGTAAAATGCTGAGTTAGCACCGTGTCTTACTGGATCTGCGTTTCTCGTCACGATCGGTTGTTCTACGTGAAGCCAAATGTAACGCAAGGCATTGTGGGACAGCATTATCTCCTTTCCTTTCCTAAATCAAGGTCCAGTGTTTCCTAAAGGACATGATAAAGGAAGCATTGAAGCTCCTTTCCTATCATCTAGAGCAGTGATTCTCAGCCGATGTGCTGTGAGATGTCGTCAGGTGTGCCGTGGGAAATTGTCCAATTCCACTTAAATCGGCCTAAAAAAAAAACATTTGCTGCAAATAATTTGCCATTGTTTATGGTCTGTGGCTGCAATGAAATACTCTTGAATGCCAGTGGGGGGCAGTAGGTAGCGCAGTAATGACCCTGTTCATTTAATACAGTAGAATTTAAAGGTGGGGTAGGTAAGTTTGAGAAACCGGCTCGAGATACACTTTTTGTTATATTCCATGGAATGCTCTTAACATCCCGATAGCAATGAATATCTGAAGTGCTTTGACAATAAATCCATAAATAAATATCATCTGTGGAAGCCGTGGTACTGTAAAAAGCACGACCAATCATCTGAGCCGGCCCGGCTAAAATAACTGGATGGCCTACCTGCCTGTCAGCCTTCCATCTGTGCACAAACTTATCTCGTGCCCTCATTGGTCATGTGCGCGTTCGTGTGTGTTGGAGGAGGGGCTCTGTAAGGAAGTGGCAGATTTTCTCCGGCTGTGTATTTTCAAATTCTTGCGATCTCGAGCTGGTTTCTCCAAAATTACCTACCCCACCTTTAAGCGATGCTTGGTGGAGGCTGCGCTAACGAGACAAACAGCGATGGATAAATACTACGGATAAATGCAGACTCTGAACTGACTCCTGGACAAAATCCTAAATATAAGTGGTGGTCAAAATATATAAAAGACGGGACTGTGTCGTTGTCATTTTAAAACGTTTTGGGTTGTTGTTGTTGTGCCGCGGGAATTATACCGTGACTCAGAAAAGGTTTAAAAAGCACTGAGAATCTGAACAGCTGTTCTCATGGCTTAGAGACTCCTCTAGGAACCTTCCTCAGATACATTTGACCGACAGGTAGACGTTCCCCAGCAGGGGGTCGCTGTAAATAAACCCTAAAATATGTTCTCGTTCCCTCTCTCACAGAGAAGCTGATCGAACAGAGGAGACACTCAGAAGCTGCTCTGCTGCTGGACCAGTACGCTAAAGTGAGCAGGAAGCTCCACAAACACTTATCATGAATCTACTTTCTTATAGTTGGAATATTATCTCACTCTTTTGCATATCTGTGCAAAACATTATGCACACTGCTCTGTATGTTTTGCACTTTTCTCTTCAATACTACCTCTCTTAAAAAATTGCGTAGCTCTCGGCAAACTGCACATATTTTATTATTCATAGTAAAAACTAATATTTGCTTTTTGTATATTTCTTTGTTTATTCTTTATCTATCGGCTGTGCAATTAATCGTATTTTAATCTCGATTACGATTTTGGCTTGCAACGATTACGAAAACAACGTAATCGAAATAAAACGATTATTATTTTTATAAAAAAATGTAATTATTTTTAATTTTTAATTTTTTTGTTTTTTCAGTTGAATTATTCTTAAAGTTCAGGGTAATCAACTGTTAAAAACATACTGTTCACATTTTTGTTTCAATAAATGGATGTTTTCAAAGTAAATGGATAATCATTTTTAATAATCGTGATATCAATTATTGACCAAAATAATCGTGATTAGGATTTTTGCCATAATCGCACAGCCTTAATCGATCGTAAACATTTTATTTAATTTTAAGATATTGTTATAATAGTTCTATGTTTGTAGACACTGTGTTTATATACGCACTGTTACCCACCATAACTCCTCATATGTGTAAACCTGCCTGGCAATAAACCTGATTCTGGTTCTGATTTACAATCAAATGTAGAATTATCATTATTATAATTACAGGACTGTGAGGAGGCCATCTTGGCTCTGATCACTGGGTCCGTCTGGGACGAGGCGCTGCGACTGGTCAGTTTGAAATAGTTAGTTTCTGATCTACATATCTCTATATCTGTTATCTATATCTGACTCTCCTGTGATGTATGTTCTATCTGCTTCAGATCTACATGCACAACAGACAGGACATCACTGAGACCAACCTGAAGCCTGCGCTGCTGGAAGGTGAGCATCAACAGAGATTTACCTCTGGGGATGATGTGTTGTTGTTTACTAATGTTGTTGTTGTTGTTGTGTCAGCTTTCAGCACTCAGATTGGGTTCCTGGAGGTTCAGGTGGCGACGTTCACTCGACACCGGATCAGACTCTCTGTGGTCCGAGAGCAGAAAGAGAAACACAGACTGGACATGCTGGGTGAGGACTCTTTAAAGTAGAGACACTACATACTGATATACACCTGAACATCAGCAGGAGAGGACTCTTTAAAGTAGAGACTCTACATACTGATATACACCTGAACATCAGCAGGAGAGGACTCTTTAAAGTAGAGACACTACATACTGATATACACCTGAACATCAGCAGGAGAGGACTCTTTAAAGTAGAGACACTACAAACTGATATACACCTGAACATCAGGAGGAGAGGACTCTTTAAAGTAGAGACACTATATACTGATATACACCTGAACATCAGCAGGAGAGGACTCTTTAAAGTAGAGACACTACAAACTGATATACACCTGAACATCAGCAGGAGAGGACTCTTTAAAGTAGAGACACCACATACTGATATACACCTGAACATCAGCAGGAGAGCACTCTTTAAAGTAGAGACACTACATACTGATATACACCTGAACATCAGCAGGAGAGGACTCTTTAAAGTAGAGACACCACATACTGATATACACCTGAACATCAGCAGGAGAGCACTCTTTAAAGTAGAGACACTACATACTGATATACACCTGAACATCAGCAGGAGAGGACTCTTTAAAGTAGTGTGTAACCCCCTGTGTTGTCCCTCAGATGAAGACGGTCCTGATTGTCCTGATGCTGAACTTTACTCTGAGGCCAGCAGTGTGATGACGGGATCCAAATATTCCCACAGTAACTCCCGCATTTCCTCGTAAGTCTCTCACACCTGAACATGCTGTCAGGTCTTTCAGGCTGTGTGTTATAATGTTAAATGTTCTTGGTCTGTCTGCAGGAGATCCTCAAAGAACCGGCGTAAAGCGGAGAGGAAGAAGCTGAGTCTGAAGGAGGGGAGCCCGATGGAGGACCGAGCGCTGATGTACGCTCTGGGAGAAATCCTCACTACTGTGGACAAGATGAGAGGTACACACTCTGAAAGACTGAACACACACTAAGGGACAGCATGCTTATCTAGTTAGAGGCTCTTTTATGTTAGGCATCAGGTCTGTCCACATTGAAATAGTTTTTGGTTGTGCATCGTTGACTCGTGCTGAAGATAGTTTGAGGTAAGAAATGTCCACGTTTGTGAGAATCTTTTCTCACAAACAGTTTCATCCTCTTACATAAGACTGTGTGCTGTCTTTCTTCCACACAGAACATGCTTTCTATCAGCTCCATAACTCATAAATCACTGCTTTGTCAAAGGATGTCTTCTTTCTATATCTGTTGTTTCCAGTGTTACTACTGGGTTTCCGTTTTATGTGTCTGTCTGAATCAAGTTTCAAAAGTAAAGCGTGCAATCTGCCAACGTATAGATTTTAACTTGTGGAATAAAACTGCTTTTTTCTGTCTGTTTTTCCTTCCATGCCACTAAACACTGTTTTTGCAAACCAGCTGCATAACATGTATAAAGGAACCAATAGCCGCGTTCACACCAAGTACTTTGCCGTACTTAGTTCCCAGCACTAAAGAGCAGATCGCGTTCACACCGGAATAAGTTCCCTGAGGGAAGATTACTCAAATGAAGCCGCTGACGTCACTTCTTCTTCTTCTGCTTTGGGTTTACTGGCAGGCCGCAAACCACTTCACGGCGTATACTGCCACCCGGAGTCCCCAGCCGGAAGTCCCCGGAGTTGGGGACTGGCTTCAGTAGAAGCTGCTGGGACTCCCAGCAGCTTCTACTGAAGCCTTCAGAGGAAATCGCCATAACGCCGACACCTCCTCATCTCCACCGCTCCCATGTTTTATTTTGTGTTGCCATAAGTTAGTCTCTCTGCGTTTGTGCGCGGGGCTAATGCTAATGCTAATAATGCTAATGCCAGCAAATACAATGGCGGCTTCACAAAACTTTTCAGAGTTGTACAGGGCGTGGTTTGCAATTCGCCCAGCCAATCGAAATTGGTACTTTTTTCTCCCCAGGAAAGTACCACCTCTCTAGCAGGGACTGGAAATGGGGGGAAAAGTTCTCTGAACTAAGTTCTCTTTTTGGTGAGAACGCAACATCCCAGGAACTATCGGAACTAAAAGGGAAAAGTACTCCGGTGTGAACGCGCCTATTGGTTCTCTGGGGACTAAATGAACAATTAGGGTACCAGTTCTGTGTCTAATTATCTGTGTCAGATAGGCTCTATGACAAGATGTAAATACTTATGGTTTGGGCTGATGATGATTCATATTTACTTCCCCGTTGATGTTTATTAACGTCCCGTTGATGTTTATTATTGTCCCCAGAGGAGGTCCACGGGCTGCTGAAGGCTCTGGTTCTGTTCCACTTTGAGCGTCAGGCGGAGAAGCTGCAGCAGATTTATGAAGAGTCTCTGCAGACAATGGAGGCGGCGCTTCCTGAAGTCTGGAGCGACGGACAGAACATCCAGACCCCGGTGAGAACCATCACATATCTGCATAATGTCTGTGATATCTTGTTTTAACAGTTACTTTATCATTTTAAAATGAAGTGCCTCAGAGTGAAAACACAGCCCCGGTGAGAACAAGCATATATCTGCATAAAGTGCACGGTTTCATCTTTAATATTATTGTACATATTGTAGTTGTGCTACATCATAGGATAAAAAAAACGACATGGACACTTTGGTAATGTGTATAAGATCTAATGTCTGTATTTTAATGTAGTATTTCTATATTGAGTAGTATTTAGGTACTCTGTTGATATTTATCTTTTCTACTATGGATATTTATATATTTACCGTTTAGGTTTATCTATTACTTTATTCCTTTTTGTATTTTATTATGTTTTTAACTCGTGTGTAAAACCTGTTGACTTCCTCCTGCTGGGACACCATTTCCAAATTAGGGATTCATTCATTAAAACTAATCTAATAAGAAAATGCCTTTTAAACATGAAGCAATCAGTCAAAACACACGTGTGTACCGGAGCACGGAGAACGCAGTATTGTTTGATTTTTTATTGTAAATATTCGTTGTATTTTGGTGTTTTTTTCTGAAGTCTCCGTCTCTCTCTCTCTCTGCAGCTCACTGGACCCAACTCCACCGCTAACAGCATCATGGCGTCTTTCCAGCAGCAGCAGAACCCTGCAGCTCCTCAGCAAGGTGCATCATATGTACACAGCACCAACATCACAAATTACACGTTCGATTCAGGGCAAGATGTACCTCGTATTACGCCCACTTCACTCCATGTGTTTGATGAAAACACTCGCTATAAGTGAAGGACTGAGCTGACATAATGTACATATGTAATGTATAAATGTACTTATTTAACACATTTCTTTCTCCTAGCAGCTGCTGAAGTCCTGGCTCCTCCGAAGATGAGGAATGGAGTGAAGTGGAAGCTGGCGGTTCTCTCATAAACATGTTTTAGTTTTTTTAAAACTGTAAAGTAAAATGGTAATTGTGTAATAAAGGTCTCCTCTTAACAGCTTACAGCATCATGTCTCCTCCACGTATTTACAGAGTTTACTATAGTGTGTTTTCTGGTGATGTTACGCAGCTCAACAATTCAACAAACAAAATATTTCTTTACAAAAGTCACACAAATCAAAACAGAGGCAGATCAAATGATAAACAAACTCTTTCTGTTACGCTGTACCTCATAAAATATAACGATTAAAACTGCGTCTGGATGACAGGTAGCATTTCTCTGTCTCTTAAAAGCTGGCACTGTGGGAGTTGTAGTCTTTTATATTCCCTGTTCACTGTTGCCCCTTTCACACCAACGCGGTTCCAGGGTCGGTTCGGAGCTAGAGCCTGATGATAAGCACCGGTTGTTCCTGTTCACGCCGCAGCCGGCTCTTTTCCCCGAAAACCGGTTCTTACCAAACTCCAAAAAATTGTCGGCCTAGAAGCAAGAACCGCTTACGTCACGCTTACGTCTGAAGTGGGGGCGAGATTAACCTGAGCTAACACCAGTTTATGGCGAGTGCGGCAAATAAAAGTTGTAACAAGCAGTAGCGCTGAGAAAAGTGACTAGAAGGCAACCACACACTTATAAAGTCAGGCAACACTAACCAGGCTTCGTGTGATTCTGTTTATTTGTACCTTACTTTGACCATCCGTTCGCTGTTATTGATCATTGTGGAGAGCAGGCAGATGTTTTGTTTGTTATTATAGCAGCTATCGGATGGAATCAATACATGGGCTGCACAGGTTGTCATGTCCGACTATCACAAGTAGAATCATAATGAAAAATACGCCGGTAAAAAGTGCCTGTAGAAAACGGCTTAGCAAGTAGTCAGTTTAGCTTCGGTTGCTATGCTAACATCACCCATGTTATACCAGAGAAACTTTCATAACAGCGTTGTGATGCCAAACAGCGTCAATTCAGACTGACACACATTCACTTAAGGGGAACTGGGGATATGTATCAGCTGCTTGTGTGACAGTCAGACAGTGAATACTTTAGAGCCGTGTGAGCTAACCCGGAGCTAACGGGAGAATACACTCCCGTGGAAGAGCAGCCAGCACTGCAGCGGTCGGTACATGCCGCTGAAACACATTAATAAACAATGAACCACGGCACTCTGGAGAAAAGTATAAGGTTGGAGAAGTCGTTATTTAATTTAATCTGGCTTCGTATGATTAAAAGTAACGGTACGTCCACACGGCAGCGTGCGTTGCTTCAACGGAGACGCTTCCCATTCACTTTGAATGGGGTGACGCTTTGCCGAACTGCATTGTGGTTCCGTCGTGTCGCTTTGCCTCCGTCGCTCGCTTCGAAAGTTGAGAAAAGTTCAACTTTTCAAGCATCGACTGAAGCGCCAGCCAATCAAATCATATGCCAGTACAAGCTCTAGCCAATCAAACCACGTGCTTGTGTGTCCGGGGCGGGAGATTAATGTGATTGGTTGTTGGTCGCACGCCAGACACGCCCACCGGCAAGCTTCAACGCGACGGAACCGTGTGGACGTTACGTAACACGATCATCGACCCGACGCAGTCCCCCATTGTTGTTGTTGTGAGCGCCGCTGGGGAGAAGATCAGCGACGTAAACGGTGAAAATAAAAACCGGTTCCGAACCAGAAGAGCGCAAGCACGGAGCTACAACGGGAGCTGCGTTGGTGAGAAAGGGGTGTGACAATATTATATAAACTTTTCACAAAAACTGTCTCTAACACTGGTGTTCAGACAACGACACAATTGTTGGTTCTCTAGTTGATGGTTCTCCTCTAGTTGATGGTTCTCCTCTGGTTCTCGGTTCTCCTCTAGTTGATGGTTCTCCTCTGGTTGATGGCCTTGCTTCTCCTCTTGTTGATGGTTCTCCTCTGGTTCTCGGTTCTCCTCTGGTTGAGGGTCTTCGTGGTGGCTCTGAGCTGCTTCAGACGCAGCTCTCTCAGGCGGAGCTGCAGGTCCACAGCAGGTCTGTCTCTGAGCCTCTGTGTGGGGATCTTTGAGAGGTTGAAGTCACAGATTGTGGGGTAGAAGTTGTACGACACCTGGCAGCTCCTGGAGGAGGAGAGGTATCCCTCAGCGCTGACCGTCACTCTGTAGTCTCCGGGGTTCAGAAGACGCCAGAAGTCACCGTCTGAAACTGGAGGAGGAGAGAGAGAGAGATGGAGATATGATGAGGACAAACTGAGGAGATGAAATACGACAAACAGTATAAAGCAATGTGGAAGAGCAGCCCCTCATCCATTGGTGTGTGTTCTGTTGTACACTGTGTGTGAGAATGTGTGTGAGCGTGTGAATGTGTGTGAGAATGTGTGTGAGAATGTGTATGAGCGTGTGTGAGCGTGTGTGAGAACGTGTGTCAGCGTGTGTGAGAACGTGTGTCAGCGTGTGTGAGAACGTGTGTCAGCGTGTGAATGTGTGTAATCGTGTGTGTGAGCGTGTGAATGTGTGTGATCGTGTGTGTGAGCGTGTGAGAACGTGTGTCAGCGTGTGTATGATCGTGTGTGTGAGCGTGTGAATGTGTGTGAGCGTGTGTGAGAACGTGTGTCAGCGTGTGTATGATCGTGTGTGTGAGTGTGTGAGCGTGTGTGTGAACGTGTGTCAGTGTGTGTGAGCGTGTGTGAGAACGTGTGTCAGTGTGTGTGAGCGTGTGTGAGAACGTGTGTCAGCGTGTGTATGATCGTGTGTGTGAGTGTGTGAGCGTGTGTGTGAACGTGTGTCAGTGTGTGTGAGCGTGTGTGAGAACGTGTGTCAGCGTGTGTATGATCGTGTGTGTGAGTGTGTGAGCGTGTGTGAGAACGTGTGTCAGTGTGTGTGAGCGTGTGTGAGAACGTGTGTCAGTGTGTGTGAGCGTGTGAATGTGTGTGAGCGTGTGTGAGAAAGTGTGTCAGCGTGTGTATGATCGTGTGTGTGAGCGTGTGTGAGAACGTGTGTGTGAGCGTGTGTGTGAGCGAGTGTGTGTGAGCGTGTGTGAGAACGTGTGTGTGAGCGAGTGTGTGTGAGCGTGTGTGTGAGTGTGTGTGAGCGTGTGTCAGCGTGTGTATGATCGTGTGTGTGAACGTGTGTCAGTGTGTGTCAGCGTGTGTGATCGTGTGTGTGAGCGTGTGTGAGCGTGTGTGAGCGTGTGTCAGCGTGTGTGTGAGCGTGTGAGAACGTGTGTCAGCGTGTGTACCTGATCTAATGTGATGATCGATATCATCCACTTTAATGATGGCGTCTGCTATTCCCTCCTCCGTCTCTCTGTCCCTCACGACTCCTTTGATCCCCCGATGGACCTGAGACAGAGAGGAGAACAGATTACAGTTCATTAAGTAAAGTAAAGACAAGGCTAGAGGAAGAGGGGCCCACCTGCTCCATGAAGACCAGCAGGGACTCCTTGTTGTTGACCCACTCCCCCGGCAGCTCGCTGACGTGAGGGAACTTGTCGCAGGAAAGCTCCACCGTCACGGCAAAACAGTTAGTGTGCAGGTAGCTGAAGTCATTCATACCTGAGAGGAGAGGAACACACACACACACTGAGATTAGCAGTGTTGGGTGTTACAAAGGAAATGTGGGTAATATAATACCCGTTACAATTCTCAGTAACGCACGTTACAACACATTTTAAACCGAAATTAATTCACCAACATCGCAAGACATTCCGACACCAGACACAGATGGTGCGGGTCGATCAGTTATCCTGGTGTTTACTATTGGTTCAGATGGCAGCAGGAACAGATTCCACTTTGAGCGATGGGCGTTCTCACATTATTTTTATACATCCACACATATTGGATTGGCCGTGAGTCTTCACTGCACCTACTATAAGTTGTTAGTAGCCTTAAGGGCCTACACAGTTGTTGCGCTATACCACATCGCCCTTCACTGGATGTATAATGAGCTGCACTAAACTACATTTTAGCATTTAAAATACCTAGCCATTCTTTTGAGGTTATTTTGGTGAAAGTAACTCAAAAGTAATATAAAAGTAGTGTAACTCATTACATTAATATTGCAACGTAACTCATTACTTAAAAACGACAGTAGCAAGTCATATGTACTGTATTACATTGGAACACTGGAGATTAGTTTATCTTTGATGGGGCTGCGATTAATTGTAGGTGTTTATTTAAATGATCAACGTTTTAGCGTGATATCTTGTTTCAACAGTTACTTTATCACTTTATCACTTTATTGTTTTATTATTATTTCTATTTGTATTCTATTTTTCTTTATTTTTTACCTTGTGTGAATCCTGTTTTTAACTCTGACTCTGTTGCTGCTATAAACGCCTGAATTTCCACACAGAGATAAATAAAGTTCCATCTTATCGTATTTCATTTTAGACTTAAAGTGGACCTATCATGCTATATTTGAATAATATAGTGTAGGACCATACCTATATAAGGCATATTTATACTTTTTTTTTTTCAAAATACCAAACATATCATGCTTTTTAGCCATGTCTCATTTTGCTCAATTTGACAATTTATAGCTCTGTTTTAGCAAGGGCTGATTCAGTGAGAACAGCACCATCTACAGGCCTGGCATATGTACTACAGCGTCTCCAGCGCTTTCGAACGGCAATGGCCGTGGCTGTCTCCTCCTGATTGGTGGAGTTGGCCCAATAGCCGTAGCGCCACCGTCCTGACGTCAGGACAGTGTTCAAATCTGGATCAGTTTTTATCAGATCCGTTGCAGCCCCTTTTTTAGAGATTTGGGTATGGAGGAAAATAGAGAGGGTTGTGTTTTCTGACACTTGGTGAGTTCCCTGGAACACCGGGGACACATATTCATGTATAAAAGACGTACAAAAGTGCATTTTGCATGATAGGTCCCCTTTAACTTACAGACTGTAATTGGCCACTTTCTACATCTTCTACAATCTGCCATTTGGTCATTATTGTTTTCCAGTTGCTGATCTATGGTGAAATATCTACTAAATAAAATATGAGCGGTCAGAAAATCAACGTGCGTCCACATTAAATAACATTTAGTCACCCGAGAGAAACTTCCCCTGGAGAGAACACAGAAATGTTAACCTCTGCAGACCATTTACATGCACTAACACCCATAGAACACACTACAGGAGAGGGGGCACCACATATAGCAGGATAGGGCCTCTTTAAATACTTTCTGGATGACTTTGAAAAACCCCGTTCTTACTTCCTGGTACGTTGTGCCAGTCGGCTCCGTTGATGATGTTGTTGTTTCTCCTGAAGTCCTTGTTGTGGCAGGGCCTCCGGTCCGGGTTGGACATCACCTGGTTATCAATAAATATACGGGACACAGGTAAGGTACTTGGTGATGTTACCTGTAGATGTGTTGAAGTGACAGGGATAGCAATAATAGATTTGAACTGGTCGAAGACAAGCACAGCTCATATATTAGTGTAGGGTTACAGAGCCTATATTGAATATTGCCTTTTCATTAGAGATATTGTGAATGGGAGAAATAGAGTGATTTATTGAGACATTTGACCAGAGGTGGGAAGTAGTGGAGTACAAAATACTTTGTTACTGTACTTAAATACATGTTTCTGGTATCAGTACTTTACTCCACTACTTATTTTTCTGACCACTTTTTACTTTGACTTCTTACATTTTGAACACAAATACCTGTACTTTCTACTTCTTACATGTTGAACACAAATACCTGTACTTTCTACTTCTTACATGTTGAACCCAAATACCTGTACTTTCTACTTCTTACATGTTGAACACAAATACCTGTACTTTCTACTTCTTACATGTTGAACCCAAATACCTGTACTTTCTACTTCTTACATGTTGAACACAAATACCTGTACTTTCTACTTCTTACATGTTGAACACAAATACCTGAACTTTCTACTTCTTACATGTTGAACACAAATACCTGTACTTTCTACTTCTTACATGTTGAACACAAATACCTGTACTTTCTACTTCTTACATGTTGAACACAAATACCTGTACTTTCTACTTCTTACATGTTGAACACAAATACCTGTACTTTCTACTTCTTACATGTTGAACCCAAATACCTGTACTTTCTACTTCTTACATGTTGAACACAAATACCTGTACTTTCTACTTCTTACATGTTGAACACAAATACCTGAACTTTCTACTTCTTACATGTTGAACTCAAATACCTGTACTTTCTACTTCTTACATTTTGAACACAAATACCTGTACTTTCTACTTCTTACATGTTGAACACAAATACCTGTACTTTCTACTTCTTACATGTTGAACACAAATACCTGTACTTTCTACTTCTTACATGTTGAACACAAATACCTGTACTTTCTACTTCTTACATGTTGAACCCAAATACCTGTACTTTCTACTTCTTACATGTTGAACTCAAATACCTGTACTTTCTACTTCTTACATGTTGAACCCAAATACCTGTACTTTCTACTTCTTACATGTTAAACACAAATACCTGTACTTTCTACTTCTCACATTTCCCAAACAGGCTGGTTCCTTTAGTTTGAATGTGTGTTTGGTGGCGTGATCATTATTATTTAGAGTCATTGCGTGCCTATTGATTTGAACACGATCCGTGTATCCATCATTTCCTGGTCTTCTCTAAAGAAGAGGGACCAATGAAAACGTTGTCATGTTGCCGTTGTTCAGCATGGAAACATTCATTAGCTAACAATGACATTATTGTTCTATTAATATAAAGGGAGGTCAGGTACTCTTTAAAACAGCTGCTAGTTATGGGTACTTTTTACTGAAGTACATTTCAAAGCCCTCTTTACTTTGACTTGAGTCAAGAAGTTTAGTCAGTACTTTTAGCAGAGTATTTAAACACGAGTATCTGTACTTCTACTTGAGTAAAGGATGTGTGTACTTGTACCCTGTTGGTGCTGGCGTACGCGGTGGCCAGCCAGCGGAAGAAGCTCTCGTCGGCGGTGGGCGTGTGCTCTCTTGGAGCCCAGTCAATAGTCATGTCGTACGGGTACGTGACCACCAGCTCCCCCCCGTGGAGGTTAGCACTCAGGACGAACGGGATGTTCTGCATCCAGTCGATGACGGCCCGGGTCTCTGGCGCCACCTGGTGGATCAGAGGAGAGACTCAGGCTCAGAGGAGAGACTCAGGATCAGAGGAGAGACTCAGAGGAGAGACTCAGGATCAGAGGAGAGACTCAGGATCAGAGGAGAGACTCAGGATCAGAGAGAGACTCAAGATCAGAGAGAAACTCAGGATCAGAGAAGAGACTCAGGATCAGAGGAGAGACTCAGAGGAGAGACTCAGGATCAGAGGAGAGACTCAGGATCAGAGGAGAGACTCAGGATCAGAGGAGAGACTCAGAGGAGAGACTCAGGATCAGAGGAGAGACTCAGAGGAGAGAATGAGGATCAGACCAGAGACTCAGGATCAGAGGAGAGAAACAACTGATCGAGACACAGCTCAATAAAAAATCATTTTGATAAGAGACATCCTTTTTTTCCTGAAGATGGAAAGGATTAGGTTTTCTCTGAGTGGCTCCTCAAATAAATGTGGGGAAATATGGGGCCCTTTTTTCAAATTTGTCAAGAGGATAAAGTTCCCAATCATTCCTGATTAAACTTTTGCATTTTGGAGGGGTCCCAACACGCTGCCGTACGGACATTTATTGTTTATTATTGACATTTTAGCTGACTAGTTTTCTATTTATTTATTTTGTGTATGTCTGTTTGTCTTCTGTCTGTGTGGCATTGTGTTTGCGCTGGTGTTAAGCAGTATCTACATTGTTACTCTACCTACTTTTCTATCAAGTGAAGATTTGTTTACCTACTTTTGATACATGCTCTGATAGAATAACTGTATGCTGTTAAAAAAAAAAACAATAACCAAAAGAAACCACACAAAAAAGAGGTGTGTGTCTCACAAAGGCTTCCTCCGAGGTGTACATCTCCGGGAGGGGGAAGTAATGGTTGATGAGTTTGGAGCGGTCCGTCTCCACCTCGATGGCGTTCCACATCCCAGAATTCAGGTCCGCAAAGTTATGGTTCATGTCAATTCCTTCGTAGCTGTAGCGACCGAGAGCCCAGCCGGACAGTTCTGAGCCCTGTGGAGAATAGGAGGGGAGATTAAAGGTCTGCTATTATGGTGTTTTTGGCATATATTATAGGTCTCAGATATATAAAAAACATGTCTATGAAGTGTTTTGCTCAAAATACCAAACAGATCATTCTAGCCTCACCCCCCTCTATTTCAGCTGTTACTAAAGTGCTGATTCTGGGTCAGTAGCTTTAAAGCCAGATACTCAGCTAAATGCTGCCGTGATTAAACTCCATATCATGTTCCAAACCACATCAAGGATTCTCTCTGAAACAGTATGGAGCTCAAACTCTTTCTCTCTCTCAGGTTTACCACAAGGTGAGTTCCTTTTTATTTCCTGCTTCTTCACACATACTCTCTCCAGTACAGGTTAGCTCTGAGTGTTAGCCATGCTAATGTAAACACAGACCATATTACTTCCAAAATACGTATCATTGTTTCTGACAGCAACGTTTCTGATTGGCCCGTGGGTGTAAAGCCCGCCCACATTTTAGTAATGTCGTCATGACGCAGCAAATCTGGATCAGCTCCGTTGTTCCCCCGTTTTTAGAGATGTGGGTACGGAGGAAAAGAGAGAGGGTTTTATTTTCGGGCACTTTGTGAGTCTCCTGACACACCGGGGACACACCGGGGACACACCGGGGACACACCGGGGACACATGGTGATGTAGAGAAGACATCACTATGTGAGTCTCCTGACACACCGGGGACACATGTTGATGTAGAGAAGACATCACTTTGTGAGTCTCCTGACACACCGGGGACACATGTTGATGTAGAAAAGACATCGCTTTGTGAGTCTCCTGACACACCGTGGACACATAGTTATGTAGAAAAGACAAGTACATTTTGCAGGATAGGTGACCTTTCAGTCCTCCAACCATCATGCAGACTACAGGATCTAAAAGCGTTCCCAGAAACCTTCTTGAAGGCCATCTCGTGTCCGTCGGGGTTCATGGAGGGCAGCAGGTGGATGCGGGTGTCTTGGATCAGGCGGACGATGCGCTGGTCGCCTCGTTTGTACTCCTGACACATGAACTGCATGAGGTTGAGGACGAGCTCTCGGCCCAGAACCTCGTTCCCGTGCATCCCTGCAACGTAACGAAACTCTGGTTCTCCTGCAGGGGGCGACAAAACACACACAGGAGTTAGTGAAGAAGGGTTCTGTTTCAGAAGAATAATCTCTACATATCAACACCACTTTATGATTTATGAGGTAAAAAGTTAATGTTGGGCTATAAAGGAACTACAGCACGGTCACATGACTTCAAGTCTCCACCGCTAAGCTAAAGGAAGCTAATGTTGGGCTATAAAGGAATTACGGCACGGTCACATGACTTCACGTCACCACCGCTAAGCTAAAGGTGGCTAATGTTGGGCTATAAAGGAATCACGGCACGGTCACATGACTGCACACCACCACTGCTAAGCTAAAGGAGGCTAATGTTGGGCTATAAAGGAACTACAGCACGGTCACATGACTTCACTTCACCACCGCTAAGCTAAAGGTGGCTAATGTTGGGCTATAAAGGAACTACAGCACGGTCACATGACTTCACGTCACCACCGCTAAGCTAAAGGTGGCTAATGTTGGGCTATAAAGGAACTACAGCACGGTCACATGACTTCACGTCACCACCGCTAAGCTAAAGGTGGCTAATGTTGGGCTATAAAGGAACTACAGCACGGTCACATGACTTCACGTCACCACCGCTAAGCTAAAGGTGGCTAATGTTGGGCTATAAAGGAACTACAGCACGTTCACATGACTTCACGTCACCACCGCTAAGCTAAAGGTGGCTAATGTTGGGCTATAAAGGGACTACAGCACGGTCACATGACTTCACGTCATCACCGCTAAGCTAAAGGTGGCTAATGTCATCTCTTCAGCTTGCGTTACCCACAGACCTTATTTCAGGTTAACAACCAGAAACACATTCAGAAAAAACGTTGACCTCCAGACCAGGGGACAGGAAGAGATAAAATGCTGACTCATTTCGGGGTTTTAGGACTCATTCCTTCACCACTCATTCATTCTAATGCTGGACAGATACTTCACCATCACACGGTGATCTAAGCTGTTAGAGAGGACTTCTGTTATGATCCAAACCCTGCTAAACCTCCAACCTCACAGTCCAGCAGCGAGCGAAACAGACTACAGTTTCTTAATTCGCTCTGAGATGTGCAAATGTTGTCGTTGGCCTCCAGAGCTGAAAGAGTGGAGAGGTTTTCCAAAACACACGTCAGTGAATGCATCACGGAGAGGAGAGTGGAAGATGATGCCTCTCAGAGTTTAAAATCTGTCTTTTATTGACAGATGTCATCCTATCACAGGTGCAAATAACTATTCCAAAGGATATTTCAGCTTTTTACTCAATGTTTAAATGTTTAAATGTTGGAGATCCTCAGGCGTTTTTCCAGCTCCAGTTTTTGAACCCAAGTCAAAGAAGTCTATGTGTGAGCTCTCTCTTTGTAAACAGTGTGAGGAGGAGGTGTGAGATTTCAGAGCCGCCTGTCAATGCATGCAAAGCAAATAGTAAACAGATCCAGCTCTTTGAATGAAGTCTGTGAGAGAATTGGATCTGAAAAGAAGGAATCTCAAAAACATCAAGGAGGAGGAATAACGTTTTTGAATATAATGTAGTGCTCGAAAATATGTTTTTGCCTGTCGAGGTCCTGTTTTGACTTGATTTCTATTGTAAAACGACCTTTTATGGCCTGTATTTATACCCCACTGGTGAATTTAAAAACTGCGGTTGCTAACAAGTGTCCAAATGGGACGACTGAACGTCATCAAGCCCAACATTAGCCACCTTTAGCTTAGCGGTGGTGACGTGAAGTCATGTCATGTGACCGTGCTGTAGTTCCTTTATAGCCCAACATTAGCCACCTTTAGCTTAGCGGTGGTGACGTGAAGTCATGTGACCGTGCTGTAGTTCCTTTATAGCCCAACATTAGCCGCCTTTAGCTTAGCGGTGGTGACGTGAAGTCATGTGACCGTGCTGTAGTTCCTTTATAGCCCAACATTAGCCACCTTTAGCTTAGCGGTGGTGACGTGAAGTCATGTGACCGTGCTGTAGTTCCTTTATAGCCCAACATTAGCCGCCTTTAGCTTAGCGGGGGTGACGTGGAGTCATGTGACCGTGCTGTAGTTCCTTTATAGCCCAACATTAGCCACCTTTAGCTTAGCGCTGGTGACGTGAAGTCATGTGACCGTGCTGTAGTTCCTTTATAGCCCAACATTAGCCTCCTTTAGCTTAGCGGTGGTGACGTGAAGTCATGTGACCGTGCTGTAGTTCCTTTATAGCCCAACATTAGCTGCCTTTAGTTTAGCGGTGGTGACGTGAAGTCATGTGACCGTGCTGTAGTTACTTTATAGCCCAACATTAGCTGCCTTTAGCTTAGCGGTGGTGACGTGAAGTCATGTGACCGTGCTGTAGTTCCTTATAGCCCAACATTAGCCGCCTTTAGCTTAGCGGTGGTGACGTGAAGTCATGTGACCGTGCTGTAGTTCCTTTATAGCCCAACATTAGCCTCCTTTAGCTTAGCGGTGGTGACGTGAAGTCATGTGACCGTGCTGTAGTCCCTTTATAGCCCAACATTAGCCACCTTTAGCTTAGCGGTGGTGACGTGAAGTCATGTGAACGTGCTGTAGTTCCTTTATAGCCCAACATTAGCCACCTTTAGCTTAGCGGTGATGACGTGAAGTCATGTGACCGTGCTGTAGTCCCTTTATAGCCCAACATTAGCCACCTTTAGCTTAGCGGTGGTGACGTGAAGTCATGTGAACGTGCTGTAGTTCCTTTATAGCCCAACATTAGCCACCTTTAGCTTAGCGCTGGTGACGTGAAGTCATGTGACCGTGCTGTAGTTCCTTTATAGCCCAACATTAGCCTCCTTTAGCTTAGCGGTGGTGACGTGAAGTCATGTGACCGTGCTGTAGTTCCTTTATAGCCCAACATTAGCTGCCTTTAGTTTAGCGGTGGTGACGTGAAGTCATGTGACCGTGCTGTAGTTACTTTATAGCCCAACATTAGCTGCCTTTAGCTTAGCGGTGGTGACGTGAAGTCATGTGACCGTGCTGTAGTTCCTTTATAGCCCAACATTAGCCGCCTTTAGCTTAGCGGTGGTGACGTGAAGTCATGTGACCGTGCTGTAGTTCCTTTATAGCCCAACATTAGCCTCCTTTAGCTTAGCGGTGGTGACGTGAAGTCATGTGACCGTGCTGTAGTTCCTTTATAGCCCAACATTAGCCGCCTTTAGCTTAGCGGTGGTGACGTGAAGTCATGTGACCGGGCTGTAGTTCCTTTATAGCCAAACATTAGCCTCCTTTAGCTTAGCGGTGGTGCGCTTTTGGTTTATTTAAATTAATGAATTACTTATTTTTAGTAGTAGTAAAGGTTTGAAAGCTTCTCACCCAGCTCGTGTTTCCCCGGGTTGTCAGAGATCTCCATGGCGTAGAGCTTCAGTCCCGTGTAACTCTTCCCGATGCTGTACATGCGCGTGATGTTCGGACACGCCTCGGTCACCGACTTCATCAACTGGGAAACAACAACAACAACAACAACAACAGTTATTTAGAGTCTTACTTGAGACCTTATTAATCTATAAAGCCACCAAGTCAGTGTTAAATATCTGTGTATCAACGCTTAAAGCCACCTCCAGTAAGAGGGGTACACATGATCAGATATTATGGGATGTATTTTTCCCTGCTGTCTGGGTGTGTTAAACTCTGACTCTGAGTGTGTTAAACACTGACTCTGAGTGTGTTAAACACTGACTCTGAGTGTGTTAAACACTGACTCTGGGTCTGTTAAACACTGACTCTGGGTGTGTTAAACACTGACTCTGAGTGTGTTAAACACTGACTCTGGGTGTGTTAAACACTGACTCTGGGTGTGTTAAACACTGACTCTGGGTGTGTTAAACACTGACTCTGAGTGTGGGGGAAACTTCTGAAGCAATTGGAGTCAGGACTCAGAGAGACACGAGGAGAGCTGGAGCTTTGATGGCAAACACTGACGGTTTATTTGGAGCTTCGGCCAGAGAATTCACAAGACATGTCACGACATGTCATGTCTGACCACACGGTTGAGATGCCACAATCAATTCTGAAGACCCCTCCTGTAGCTCCAGGTTTTAACTAGTTCAGAGTGTAATAATCAACATTCTTCAATAGATAGACTAAACAGCTGAGGACACTGAATCACATTTGTTGTCGCTTATGGCTCGGGGTCATCTACACCCCGAGAAGGATGTGTTCCAGGTGTCCCACAACAATAACTATCTCTGACTGAGAGCTGCCCGGTCACAAACTGGTAACAACAACAACTTGCTAGGGCAGCCCCTCCTTATGGGAGATAACGGCTGCTCAAGGTTGGTCATCTGCGTCAGAGGGCGCAGGAGGACACTAGGACAAATGATTCCCCAACAGTGAGTGTGTGTTTGTTTCTGTGGGCTGACCGTCTGCTGTCTCCAAACAGACCGCAGGTAGTGGCAGCTCAGTGAGAATCCAAACCTCTCATAATATTTGTTTTCTAGTCAGACTGAGACCACACACACACACACACACACACACACACACACACACACACACACACACACACACACACACACACACACACACACACACACACACACACACACACACACACACACACACACACACACACACACACACACACACACACACTAAACCCACTGCAGTTATATTATCTTTCAAAAATGTTCTGTGCATGCCAAATCTTTCTGGTTGACCCTCTCTTGTTTTCTGTGGTGTTCCCTCTCCTGTAGTGTTTGGTTTCTGTGCATGTAAATGGTCTGCAGAGACTAAAATCCCTGTGTTTCAGTTTCTGACAAACTTTTCTCATCTCCTTGTAGTTGTGGTGTCTGAAGTCCAGTTTGTCTTGAGGCTCTGCCGGCGCTGTCTGCCACGGGTAGATGTTGTTTGGATCTGTGGTGACAGCAGAGATAACAAAAGTACACACATCCTTTACTCAAGTAGAAGTACAGATACTCGTGTTTAAAAATACTCTGGTGAAAGTAGAAGTACTGACTAAACTTCTTTACTCAAGTAAAAGTAAAGAGGGCTTTGAAATGTACTTCAGTAAAAAGTACCCATAACTAGCAGCTGTTTTAAAGAGTACCTGACCTCCCTTTATATTAATAGAACAATAATGTCATTGTTAGCTAATGAATGTTTCCATGCTGAACAACGGCAACATGACAACGTTTTCATTGGTCCCTCTTCTTTAGAGAAGACCAGGAAATGATGGATACACGGATCGTGTTCAAATCAATAGGCACGCAATGACTCTAAATAATAATGATCACGCCACCAAACACACATTCAAACTAAAGGAACCAGCCTGTTTGGGAAATGTAAGAAGTAGAAAGGACAGGTATTTGGGTTCAACATGTAAGAAGTAGAAAGTACAGGTATTTGTGTTCAACATATGAGAAGTAGAAAGTACAGGTATTTGTGTTCAACATGTAAGAAGTAGAAAGTACAGGTATTTGGGTTCAAAATGTAAGAAGTAGAAAGTACAGGTATTTGTGTTCAACATGTAAGAAGTAGAAAGTACAGGTATTTGGGTTCAACATGTAAGAAGTAGAAAGTACAGGTATTTGTGTTCAACATGTAAGAAGTAGAAAGTACAGGTATTTGTGTTCAAAATGTAAGAAGTAGAAAGTACAGGTATTTGTGTTCGACATGTAAGAAGTAGAAAGTACAGGTATTTGTGTTCAACATGTAAGAAGTAGAAAGTACAGGTATTTGTGTTCGACATGTAAGAAGTAGAAAGTACAGGTATTTGGGTTCAACATGTAAGAAGTAGAAAGTACAGGTATTTGTGTTCAACATGTAAGAAGTGAAAGTAAAATGTCGTCAGAAAAATAAGTAGTGGAGTAAAGTACTGATACCAGAAAAATGTACTTAAGTGCAGTAACAAAGTATTTGTACTCCATGACTTCCCACCTCTGCATATATATAATTAAATTAGACTTATGACACATTTCTGCGACAGGTGTCTTCCTATTATAATCATTATATGTCCTCCTATACCTGGCACAGTGCAGCCCAGCACCTCGGCTCGCAGGCAGATGTGTCCCAGCGACCCGTTCTGGTACCAGCTCTGAGGATTGATCCGGAGGTAACGGGCCACGGTGGACGTGTTGAAAAGAGCCAGGACCGGAGTCTCAAGGTTCTGGTTCCCGGTGAACACCTGGAAAACAGAGCGGTGGTGAAGCACAGGTGTTCAAAAAGAGGTGGAGGAAGTATTCAGATGCTCATAAGTAAAAGTACAAAAGTATTTCAGCAAATGTACTTAAAGTATAAAAAGTGAAATTACTTATTGAACTATGTGTGTATATAATTATATTTAGGGTGATTTAGCCTTAAGGTCGGCTGACCAGCTGCTGTTGATAGTGCCTAAGACCAGGCTCTCTTCAATTTACACACGGCATCTATTGCACGTCTGTCCGTCCTGGGAGAGGGATCTCTCCTCTGTTGCTCTCCCTGAGGTTTCTCCCATGTTTCCCTTTGAAATGTGGGTTTTTCTCTGGAAGTGTTTCCTTGTACGATGTGAGGGTCTAAGGACAGAGGGGGTCGTTTTTCTCATACTGATATTCTGAACAAACTGTGCTGTTGTATTAGCTGTAACATGTCTTTACTGTAAGGTATTTTTATTATATGTACAGCACTTTGGCTCGACCAAAAATCGTTTAAAAATGTGCTATATAAATAAAACTTGATTTGATTTGATTTGATTTATATTACATTTTTTGATTAATTGAGTAAAAATAAAGCAGAAAATAGTGTGTTGGGATCCTGTAATCCCTGATTTCATTCACCAAATACATCTTCAGATAAGATAAGATAGGACTTTATTCACCCCGAAGAAAATAGTTGTGCCAGCGTTACAAAGACTCAATAAACACAGCAGCATAATAATAAAACTGTACACTAACAGAGCAGTCATTTTGGCTCAACCATCACCTCTGTAAACTCCAGCAAAGGAACACACAGGAACACTTCTTTATCTTCATATATAGTTTTTATTTAAAGGGAATGGGCTGTAGTTTGCAACTCGTTGAAGACTCCTCAGACGTCCTTCCTGGTCAGAGTCTTCCACACCTTGTCCTGAAGTGTCTGCAGGAAGTAGACGATGTTCCTCTTTTTGTTTTGCTCCGAGACTCCCTGCCGGGGCCTGGAGTCGGCGGTGAACTTATTGCCCAGAGATCCAATCACCTGCTCGTTCATCATCCTCCTGTAATCCTCCATCACCGCCTCGTACTTCTCCACAGATTCGGCCCGATCGGCGGCAGCTTCGGCGTCACTTTGCACTCTGATCACGTGACCCATCCCCCAGGAGGGAGGAGGGAAGACCAGGGACTTCAGAAGGAGCTTCACCGCCTCCTCCACGAACGAGTACACCTCAAAAGAGTCAAAGTCAACTTCATTGTCAATATTTCAGTTTGTGTACAGACAGAGAGATCGAAATACCGTTTCCAAATACAAAAATACAAATATATATACAAATATCCTATATACACAATCAACAGACACATGTATATGTACATATGCACACATTAAAGGTCCCCTATCATACTGTTCTTCATCAATATATCAGATATATCCAGAGCCTGTCTCTGATTGGCTGAGACACCAAACAGATCATTGCAGCATTACCCATAATCCCCTCTGTTTCAGCCCTGTTTCCAAAGTGCTGATTCTCTGTCTGTTACTTTAGATGAAAATAAGGAGCCCCTCCCCACGCCCCTCTGAGAGACATTTGGTTACAAAGAACTCAATGGTGCTCTAGGAGGAGATTCAGGTGATAAGGTGGGGGGGGGGGGTTACCTTGGTTGCTGATTGGCTAATGGTTACACAAGACAACACATCGTTATGACATCATAAAGTGGCCAAAATCTGATCAGCTCATTTTCAGACAGGTTTTTATAAAAATGGATCAAAAAGAGAGAGAATCTTTGTTCCTGAAACTTTCAGAGTCTCTTTCCACAGAGGGGACACATGTTGATGAAGAAGAGAGATGAGGAAGAGGGGACACATGTTGATGAAGAAGAGACATGAAGAAGAGGGGACACATGTTGATGTAGAAGAGACATGAAGAAGAGGGGACACATGTTGATGAAGAAGAGGACATGAAGAAGAGGGGACACATGTTGATGAAGAAGAGAGATGAAGAAGAGGGGACACATGTTGATGTAGAAGAGACATGAAGAAGAGGGGACACATGTTGATGAAGAAGAGACATGAAGAAGAGGGGACACATGTTGATGAAGAAGAGACATGAAGAAGAGGGGACACATGTTGATGTAGAAGAGACATGAAGAAGAGGGGACACATGTTGATGAAGAAGAGACATGAAGAAGAGGGGACACATGTTGATGAAGAAGAGAGATGAAGAAGAGGGGACACATGTTGATGTAGAAGAGACATGAAGAAGAGGGGACACATGTTGATGAAGAAGAGACATGAAGAAGAGGGGACACATGGTGATGAAGAAGAGACATGAAGAAGAGGGGACACATGTTGATGTAGAAGAGACATGAAGAAGAGGGGACACATGGTGATGTAGAAGAGACATGAAGAAGAGGGGACACATGTTGATGTAGAAGAGACATGAAGAAGAGGGGACACATGTTGATGAAGAAGAGACATGAAGAAGAGGGGACACATGTTGATGTAGAAGAGACATGAAGAAGAGGGGACACATGGTGATGAAGAAGAGACATGAAGAAGAGGGGACACATGTTGATGTAGAAGAGACATGAAGAAGAGGGGACACATGTTGATGTAGAAGAGACATGAGGAAGAGGGGACACATGGTGATGTAGAAGAGACATGAAGAAGAGGGGACACATGTTGATGTAGAAGAGACATGAAGAAGAGGGGACACATGGTGATGTAGAAGAGACATGAGGAAGAGGGGACACATGGTGATGTAGAAGAGACATGAAGAAGAGGGGACACATGTTGATGTAGAAGAGACATGAGGAAGAGGGGACACATGGTGATGTAGAAGAGACATGAAGAAGAGGGGACACATGTTGATGTAGAAGAGACATGAAGAAGAGGGGACACATGTTGATGTAGAAGAGACATGAAGAAGAGGGGACACATGTTGATGAAGAAGAGACATGAAGAAGAGGGGACACATGTTGATGTAGAAGAGACATGAAGAAGAGGGGACACATGGTGATGTAGAAGAGACATGAAGAAGAGGGGACACATGTTGATGTAGAAGAGACATGAAGAAGAGGGGACACATGGTGATGTAGAAGAGACATGAAGAAGAGGGGACACATGTTGATGTAGAAGAGACATGAAGAAGAGGGGACACATGGTGATGTAGAAGAGACATGAAGAAGAGGGGACACATGTTGATGTAGAAGAGACATGAAGAAGAGGGGACACATGGTGATGTAGAAGAGACATGAAGAAGAGGGGACACATGTTGATGTAGAAGAGACATGAAGAAGAGGGGACACATGGTGATGTAGAAGAGACATGAAGAAGAGGGGACACATGTTGATGTAGAAGAGACATAAATAAAAGCACAACAATCAACACATCACTCACCTGCTCAGAGGGCTCAAAGACAGCCGTGATGGGGAACATTTTGCTCGGCTTGCACAGCTCCGAGTCGGACCACGCGAGCCTGCCCACGTCCAGAAAGTGAGTCTTGCCGTGCGTCTGTTGGTTGAACACGTCCGTGAGTTTGTCCGCCAGCGACTTGGAGAAGTGAAACAGCTTGTCTTGACTGATCAGATCCTCCAGACCCTTCAGAGCGCCTTCTCCACCCTCAGCTTCCCTCATGAGAGACTGAACCACCTCGGGCATGATGCTGTTGGACTCCTGTGATCTGGACTCACTGATGGTGAGACGATCCGACAATCTCCCCTCCTCTTCCTCCTCTTCTTCTTCTTCTTCTTCTTCGTCATCCGACAGCTGGTCCAAAACCTCTTTTGGGATGGTAAAGAAATTGATAATCCTGTGCCACAAGTCTACTGTGTGCGCATGTTCACACTGAGACTCAGGGGAGGTTGAAAGTCCCAGCGTTTTGTCCTTTTTCTTGTCCTGTGCTTCGTCCAGGAGAAACTGCACTATTTCCTCCACGTCTTTTGAGCCGGTAACTTTGCTGCTCTCCTGTCTTCCTCTGACTCTCTTGATGGACATGAAGCCAGAGAATCCCTCCTCTCCATCTTCTCCATCCTCTTCCTTTTTGGGGTTGTCGAAGAAATCCTTAATCGTGCCCCGCAGTTCTTTTCTGACGAGCAGCGCTGCGGCGGCGACTTGCTCCTCGGTCACGGTGACATTTTCTGAACCCTCCACCTCTCGTTGTCTCTCGAACAGCTGATTGGCTCTCAGGGCCACAGTTTCCAGGATCTTTGAGGCCAGAGGAAGAACCGTCTCTCTGTACGGCTCGATGGATGTGACCCTCGCCTGGATGCAACACGAGCTCAACATCAGCAGCGAGCTCGTGAGAAACTCCTTCAACACCTCGTCATGTGTGAAAGTCTTCTGTTGAGTTGTGTCGTGAGGAGGTGAAGCGTCTCCGAATTCAGGGTTCGCCTCCTGCGGTGCTACCTAAGATAAGATAAGACTTTATTCATCCTGAAGGAAATTGTTGTGCCAGAGTTACAAAAATACAATAACCACAGCAGCATAATAATCAAACTGTACACTAACAGTGCAGTAAAAAGTGCTTTTTAAATAACTACAGGAAACATAGTTAATGTAAATATTACCAGAGTTTAGTAGTGCAAAACAAACGTAGTGGCAGATACGTAATTGCACGTTATTATAGCACATTATTCATAATAATAATAATAATATTGCACATGTTATATACACTAGAAAACAAGCTGTTTTCACTTGAAATAAGCACAAAAATCTGCCAATAGAACAAGTGAAAATGAGCTTGGTAAGATCTGTTGAAATAAGAAGGGATATTTAGATAAATCAGATCTTGTAATTAGCTGGAGAACTCACTTTGAACTATATTTGACCAGAATCAGGACATGTTGTGTTTCAATATAATCCTCTAATGCTCAAAGGTTTTCTGTGTTCTGATGCTAGTTGGTGACTTTCTAATAAATATGTAAAAAGATATGTGTTTCATCTGAGATACAACTCAAAGTAAGATGTTTTGACTTAACAAGATGATGCATTGTCTAAAAACAAGACCTGACATCTCAC